GCAGTGAGAGTATTGTTTCTCTACTAACTGGGCAGAAACAAATTGTCTAGTCTGGAATTTAATACACATCTGGTGCAATCTGATCAGGAGGTTTTTAATTATATAGCACTTTCTTCTACAATGCCGTTACCAAAGTACACAAATAAGAAACTATTGTACCAATATATGTTTATGAAAAGACAAACTGCATTTTATAGATGATGCAGGCAAAGATCATGGGAATATGATGAAATCAAGAATAAGAGTATTGCTGAAAGTTGTGAAAGATTCATACCCAGCAAGGATGAGAAGGCTGTGCTTTTGCATCATCACATTAGTATGATGGTATAGTACCTATAGGTTAGCACAGCGCCCTTCCTGGATTCATTGGCTCTGCTTTTATACCACAAGTCAATATTATTAATAACAGAACACTAACATATATCTATCATATACAGACCTGCAAAAGGGAGGAAATCTAGCTCAGCCCATGTCTTTGTCCTCAAAGGGTGGAAGTGAGAGCTGCTCATGTCCTATGATAGCACATTAAATGGAAGACTGGGCACAATTTCCTTTTCTGAAAAGGGATCCTTGGGTGGGTAGCACTCATGGGTGCTAGCAGGTCACCAAGGCCCTCTTAACTGTCCAAGAATGGCTGGTACTAGTGCCAGCCTTAGAAGAGAAGCCGGAAGATCAGGAGGACAGCTGAACAGAACATCCCTGGTTCTAGATTCCACAAAGCACTCAGTAACTCAGTCTGAGGGAGAATCACTAAATAAATAGGCAGGTAAAATACTTAATGTTTGGCCTTTTCACCATCCTCTAATCAGGCCATGCAGCTCTGAAATAGAAAAACCCTGCATCCACTTTAAAGTATTATGTTCCCATTTGTTTATGAATATAAAATAAAAAATAGGCCAAAGAAACTTAAATAATTGGAATTATGGTGCTTAGAGTACCTGGAGAAATTCAAAAGCAGCGAATGTAAGCAAAGGAAGGCAATATCAGACCCCTTTGGCTCAAATTATTGCAGTTGTTGCTCAAGCAACAAAACCACCAAATGGTCCATACCTCTTTGAGTTGATTCCTGCCCTTTCCAGTATATGTGTCCTATAAATGGGCATTACTCATCTGGAAATATTTTGCACTTTAATACCACAGGAAACCCCAGAACAGTATTTGGCAAGCACCGAAATCTCTGCCACCAGCTGAAAGCAGCAGCACTGTTCCAGCATTTGCTGAATCAATTTATTGGGTGCCAAGGTAGATTCATGTTTTCTCTGAATCATTCATGTCTCTGTTGAGTTCCAGATGTTAACTGAACTCATTCAGTTCCCAGTAGGAAAAAAGAGAGTAATGGGGAGGGTAATCATTCCCTAGACCTGTGGGCTGAAACAGAGATTGCTTTAAATCTATATCTAGTACCTATGTCTCCTCTGCATTATACTTTAGAGAAGGTAAGTGCTCCCAAACAGAAAGAAAATTGATGCCTCCAAAACATGCTGCTAGAGGAGAGCTTTGTGAATACCCTGGACTGACAGAAAGATGAACAAGTGGGTCCTGGATCAAATCAAGCCAAAACGTGCCCTAGAAGCGAATCAGACAAAGTTCAGGCTGTCATACTTTGGGCATCTCATGAAAAGGCAAAACTCCCTGAAGTAGACAATCATGCTAGGGAAGTCAAAGGCAGAAGAAGAAAAAGAACACGAAATATGATATGATTTGTTTCGTATGCCATCCAGAGATGTGCAAATAAATGATATGACTTGACTCTGCAAAGAAGGCCCCAGCCTCGAACTTACAAGAGCCGAACAATGCTGTCATGGATAGGTCTTTTTGGAGGGTTTTTCTTTATAGGGTCTCCATAATGTGGAGACAACTTGATGGGGGTCAGACTAGATGGCCCGGGAGGCTCCTTCTGACTCGCTCTATTTCTATGTTTCTATGTTTCTAATAAAGTGCTCCCATTTAAAGTAAAATCTGTCTAAATAGTACATCTTAGCATTTAAGCAGAAATGAACCGAGGTTATGCCATAAGAACATAGAATCATAAAAAGACAGACCGAAAACCTAACTCATCCAGCATCCTACCTCCCACAGTAGCCAGCCAGATGCTTTTGGGAAGCTCACAAAGAAGACATGGGGGCAATAGCTGCTCCCCCACAGGTTAACTGGCATTTGGGTGCCTCTCATCCCAGAAGCAACACACAGCCATCATGGTGAGTGTCTGTTTATTTGCAATTTAGGGAAAGATCCTGTTGCCCCTAGACATCATGGGGGCAGGAGGGAAGGCATACAATTGTCCAGATTCCCAGGTTGCTGGTTAGAATCAATGCAACAACTTTGGATCTGAGGATTGAAGCTCCAGTCCCCTGTCCTTGCTCCCTTGAGGCCAGCTTGGGAAAAACCATATGGACTGCTCTCCAAAGTTGGGAAAGTGTCCTTGGAGAGGGTGGGAGGGGGTCTTTCAGGAGGCAGGGAGAGGAGGAGACTGAAGTGGTCAGGATGGAAGGTTTGCTGATGCTGTCCAGTCGCCTTTCCTTCCCCACCAAAGTACCCCCAGCTAGATAGCTGAGTGTGGCCTTCTGGTGAAAATGCAGAATGGGAAGAGAGTGCCTCCACTGCTCCATCTGCTTTGCACTGGATACCCATAATCCTCTGAGTCTGGGGGTTTATGGGTATCCTGACTGGATTGTGCCCTGATTTGCCTCATTCCCTTTTAAAGTCAGTTGAGGTGGTGGCCAGTCTCACAACTTGAGGGAGCAACTCCATTCATTTCACTGTGTGTTTCATTTTGTCCTGAATCTCTTCCATTCTGCTTCATTTAATGGTCCTGCATTCTAGTATTTTGCAAGAGGAAGAAAATCCTCCCCCTGTTGACTTTCCCCACACGATGCATAATTTTAAACTTCCACATTGTCTCTCCTTGCTCACTTTTGTACTCACTTTTTGCTCAGCCAGACCGCCCCCCCCGCAAAACATTGCAATTTTTTCTTGTATGCTTGGCTGGGAATCTTGGAAATTGTAGGATTTTTTATTTGTTTTTTACCAAGGTCTATACGTATCACCCAGAAGTAACTAATGAATCAGAATTTAGCTCCATTTAGCTCCGTGTTGTTTGAAGCAGAGTGCTGTATTTCAGGTCCCAGGATCAAGCTGGCCTGCACAGAGTCCCTATCCAGACAGTGGGGTCCCCAGATGCCCAGAATCCCCTCCCCTGGCCATGCCCCCTTTGCTCCGATGGCCAGTTGTTGGGAGTTCCCTGGCTGCTTCATGTTTCTCCCCACTCTAAAAAGTTGAAACGGTTCTGCGAGACTTACTTACTGGCATTAACGGTTTTAAACTAAAAGATTCCAGTATCTGTGGTATTTTGGCCCCACCCTCTGTGCAAGCAGCCTGCCTGCTACTGCAATGCAAGCTTCTCCGAAATTGAATTTGGCGGTCAGGCTGAAAGAAGTTTGAGCTAGATCAATAGAGAAAGGCTGGAGTCTTTCCCTGCCTCATGGGATGCCAGGGAGTTATCCTGGGGCTTTCTCCTTGCAGACCACATTCTCTGCCCCGAACCATCATTTCTACCAACTCCTCTGCTCACCAAAGTCCCTCTTGTTCACACCAGTGGAAAGTCGAACTAGATGCATGTGATTCATTTTCGCACTAGAGCACCCACAGAATTTTGGATTGGGTGTGTGCATGTGTCCAGTAGCCCACGGATGGAATCTGATTCAAGCATTGCAGGTAGGCAGGGTGCTATTGTTACAAGGCAATTCTAAAGAGTTTAGCCAATGTATACCTCCTTTTTTTGTCTCCATTTTTAAATGTGGTAGTGATTTTCTCTGTTGCTCAGCTCCAACGAAGATCTAAGCAGATGACATCGCTAATATAGGTATGTAGATTTCCCATGAAATTGCTCTATTTGGTAAAATGGTTTAAAGATGGAATTATCTACAGGGTTGGCAGTGATATTTTTAGTATCCAAGACGTTCATCTGTGGGTAGGTTCAAAGAATTACATATTACAGTGACAGGATAATTTTATAGGGGCATGATAATTTGTAACACAGAAACATGCTTGTTGAGTTCACGGTCACTTATCTATCCTTGGCAGGAAAAGCCATTTGGTTTGGCATCAGCATTTAGGAAAACATCGGAAATTAGATCTGTGTGTGTGGGAAGGAGATGTTTGACCAGGAAGCTGAAGGTTTTCACTGAGAACTGGGACTCAATATGAGCTTGAATTGGTACTGTTTTCAGACAGTTTTTCCAGTCTCCTCTGGCTGGCACATAAGCAAGTATCTGTCTTTTCTAAAGTATAGGAGCAGCCTTCAGCTCAAAATCAAGAGCAAAAATCTCCCCTTGGGCTTTTGTTCCTTCGCTGCTAGTACAATGACTTTTCAGATTGTGTGTGTGTATTGCGTGAGAGATGGAGGGAGAAAGGGAAGTGTGTGTTTTGTATGAGAAAGAGAGAGAGAAGAACTAACTCTCGCACTCTCTCTCTGTGGTTTTGGCAAACAATAAGAAGATTGTGTCCAAACTCCAGAACACCTTTTAAGAGCCTGAATTCTCAGCTTTTCCATATCTAATCAAGAAGCATAAAATATTTGCCACATGTTCCTCATTTCCACCTCATTTCTTCACACTAAAACAAAAACATGCCCAAGAGAGAAAGGAAGAGAGAAAAGGGAGTAACAGTTGTCAGTGCTGCCAGACAGGAACCCTACAGCTGCCCATTAACTACAGTGGGCATTTCTAGCATACAAATCAATTTTCCCTACAGTAGGGCTTGCGGTGAATAATGACTGGGTTGTTTAAGAAAGCATGACTGATTTGGGATGAAGGTTCCTGCCACTCTGACATTTTCACAGCATAATTTACGGCACGCAGCATATAAAGCTGTGGTCACCCTGGTCTTGTTGCCAGGCATAATAGGGGGGAATCGCCTGGGAAGCCCACGTCCCGGCATCTGCAGATCATTCTCTTGTAAAAGGCATTTGAACTTGGGGGACCTTGCTAATGATGAGTAATATGGCACCCAAGGATTTCCTCCACTGGAGTCTCCTGGTGTTGCTTCTGTTTCTTCGCTTTTGCCTGTGCCAAGATGAATACATGGAGGTGAGCAGAAGATCTAATAATCCAGTGGCCAAAGTCTTGCAAAGCCACCACCAGACTGGCCAAAAAGGTTCCAGCGGCAGGGAATTGTTCAGACAGCGGAGTCGCCTTTTTGAGTGGACGGTTGAGGAGGATGGTAATAGCCCTTCTACTGACCCAAATGCCTTGAAACCAGAGGTAGATGATATAGCACAGCCTACCTCAGGCAGAGTCCAGGTACTCTGAATTAATCTTCTATGGCAACCTATAGAGAGTTAATGGATTTGCTTTTCTGTATAAGACAACCAGCAGCACTGCTTTTTAAGGAAACTGGATTATGAAATATGCAAAAGTATGTTGTGGCTACGCTATACATATAGATTCCTTTCATGAATTAGGGAAGCATAAAATAGGATGGATATAGCAGAACACCGGTGTTAACTTTCTAGAAGTTTTCTAGAAGTTTAGGTTAGATGTAATCAGGAGCTTTAATACTCACTTTCTCACTTACTGAGCCGAGGCTTCTTTAGTACTTTAACAGCTTGTTCCTCTGCATGGGTACTTGGAAGTAAGTCCTATTCAGTAAGTGATTAGGGATTGCAGCCTAAAGGTGTAATCCAGCCAAAGTTAAGCACTTCTAAGTCCCACTGAAATTAGTGGGGCTTGCTCAACTTTGAATAGATCATGCCATCATCTAAGAAATACAATGTGGAAAAGATATTCTCGTGGACTGGACCAAATTCTGTTTTTGAAGCAGTATGCAGATAGTTGATTTATAATATCTTTGTCAAACAAAATGTCAGATATTAATGAAAGATTGTGCAATTCTGTGGGGCAGAGAAGTCTTACATATTTTATAACAACAAGGTTGCAATCCAATATACATACTTATTGGGCAGCAAGTTCCACTGAATTCAATTAGGCTTACTTCTGAGTAGAAATTATAGGATTTTAGTGTAAGAATAGTAAAGGAAAAAAATACTGCTACACTGATTTTTTTTAAGAGTACTGATGACTTAGTAAAGAATCATTTAATATGCTTTCAGCTTCATCTTCTATCCTGCCTAGAGTTTTGAGTATTTTATCACTATTAAGATAATTTTTGTGTGGCTGCAATCCTATGGATGCTTACTTTGGAGTAAATTCTATTGACAATAATGGGGTTTACTTCTGAGTAGACATGCAGGATTGCACTTTAAAACAATTAGGGCAAATGAATGGGTTTAAATCTATGGACTATTTCAAGCAGGTTTGTATAAGGAGAAATATATTGTTTGAGATAGTTTGATACTGATTATTTCTTAAAAGTATTATTTCTATATTTAATTTACTATATTTAATGGTAATTTATTATGTACTATTGTATTTCAATGTATTTTATCATGTTGTAAGCCGCCCCGAGGTTTCGGCAAGGGGCGGCATAGAAATGTTATAATAATAATAATAATATTTGGAAAAGTTATAATCTAATTTTCAATCTGAAGGACCTGATGTAGAGAATAATAAGACACAACCATTGTAAAATGTCTAGAGTACTTGAATGATTGGGTGGCACAGAAGTTAAATGTATAAATACATCAAACAACAAAAGAAAAACAATGATGCAGCAAGACTCATAATTTATCACCTGACAGTAGGAAAAATATATAATCACAGATCTCCTACACTGTTTTAAATTAAATTAAAAACCACCCTAAAAAAAGAAAGACCAAATGGTACACCTGAATGGAACAGTCTCAGATTTGATGGATCTCAAATACCAGAAAATTCCAAAGAGGAATATATATATATTTTCACTGTTGGAAGCCAGTGTTTGTTGGTTGTGATAAAAGTGGCACCTGCTGCAACAGCCTTCCTCAACCTGGTGTCTCCAGATGTGTTGGACAGCAATTTCCATAATTTCCAGGCAACATGGTGAATGGCCATTCTACAGTGTGATATGACCATGTTGTGTTACTGGACCTCACTGACCAGGTTCAGAAAACATAACCCACTATCAAGACAGTGCAGAAAGTGGAGAGGGAGACCTCTCCCATAACACTCAAATCCAGGGTCATTCCATGAAACTGATTGGTGGGAGGTCTCAGACAGATGAAAGGGAGTACTTCTTCATGCAGCATACAGTGAAAACTATGGAATACACTGCCATGGAGGTGGTGAAGGCCAATTTGGATGGCTGTAAAATGGGATTGGACGAATTCATGGTGGAGGAGGAGGTTATCAATGGCTACTAGTCTTGCTGGCTAGGTGGTACCTCTGTTATCAGAGTTAGCATACCTGCATTACACCAGTTGCTGAGGAGCTTGGCAGGTAGAGGTCCTGCACTCATCCTGCTTGAGGGCAGCTGGCTTGCCACTGTATGAATGGAGTGCTGGACTGGTTGGACCATTGGTCTGATCCAGCATGGCTTTTCTTGTGTTCTTATGTTTTTAAATGTAGGGAATGTTGAAATGTGAATTTTTGTTGAAAAATGGATTATTGCTTATCTGAGCCTGGTCAAGGCAACAAATTATTGTGAACAAACACAGTTCACAATCCAGAAGCAAACTATGGGTGCTGGCTGGGTTGTTCATGGTTAATAAACTATGGCTTTTAGCACAGTGGGGCTTGTTTGTTTAAAATATGTTAACCCCATCTTTACTTGAAATGGTCTCAAGATGGCTTACAATTCAATAACAGCACATTAAAATACAATATTAAAAAATCCAATTTAAAACCCATAAACAATATGCCAGCATTTCAGCTGCAATCCAGAGTTCAACACCAATACGTGCTCAGTCCATATGCATCCCTTGACAGTGGGTTATCCTAATGTCAGAACCCAGTCAATGAATCAGGAGAGTACAAATGTTACTTTTGGCAAGCTCAGAACAATACTTGTATGAGATAAAATCAATCTGTGAAAAACTTTTCCTGAATTAAACTGAAGCATTTGACCTTAAAAGTGATTTGTGCTCCATGACCTTCAGTGGGGCTGAAACAGCTTAAAATCAAATACTTTGTTGAGAAGACAAATCTTAAGTACAGGAGGATTTTGAGGGGCGGGGGTGCTTCCTCCTGTTCATGATGCCATCTCTGGGGCTAGTGTGAGAGTGTGTTGTGGTCTTAGGATCCTGTGGATTCGATGACATCAGCAGCATCCCTGGTAATCAATAGTGCAAGCCCAGCCACACAGCCCCACTGACCCTAATTCCTCTGGGATGCTGTGTTTGGGTCCCCTGATAACATAACACTCGGGGAAATCAATGATGGGAGGTGGGAAGCATAGAAGGAGGGCCAAAGCATCATGCGTGTTCTCAGCCACCTTCCCAGGGATTTCTTGTTTGCAGGGGAAAAGCTGCTAATGGAGGGTATTATTTAGATCAGGGATATGAAAGGTAGGAAAAACATTAGTCAGTTCACTTACCCCTTCTTTGATCCCACCTTTCCCCTCCAGATACAACTTTTCCTCTTCAAAGAAAGAGCTACAGGGCCACGCTGACATGTGTTGTATAGATGGACTCCAGTGGAGCATTCCCTAAGATAATGAATTACAAATTAATTACATGGGTTCCTCTTTCCCAGACTATTTCCCTCCCTCCTCAAGGGAATATACAGGGCAAGAAGATAAGAGGATAAAATATTTTTTCCTATGCTCTACTTTTTTTTACTATCAACATTGATTATGGAAAACCCCTGCACAAATATTAATTATACATGAATGAGAAGGGTTGTCAGACAGCAAATACAGACAAGCCTTTAACAATTGAGACTGCAGCTCAACACATGTATATTAATGTAGAGAAGAACAAACAGGCACTGAAACTATGTGTCATGTGTTTTCTATCAGTTTTGCATAGCAACATGTGCTTAAATCAATTTTTTTCTGAGAAAAGCAGTGATTCCAATGCAGTTGCACCAATCAGTAGTGGTATGATTGATTAGCATGTATTGCGGTTGCCCATCTGTGTTCAAGTAAAACATCTTGATTGAGATCCAGGTTTATGGTTCGGATTTCATGACTGCCCCATCTGCTACGAATGCCAAAGATTCCTCAAGGAACAGTATCCTCCTCTGCAGTCTCATGGGATTTATTTTGATTTATGACACATCCCTGACATTTCCTATCCCAGATGCGCTCCCCCACCAAACCATTCCACTGAGGTCAGATGTTTACCTCTATAAAGAGTATAGATTTTAAAGATACTATTAGGGTGCAATCCATAAGCCTTTGCACTCCCCTCCCCTCCTTCCACCCTGCAAAGCAATTAGACTACCTGTTTTGGTCATTGGTGTAGCACCCTTGAGTGGAAGGGAAGGAGGCTGCAGCACTGCCAGGATACAGAAATCCAATTAATTAATGAATTAATAATTAGTGTTATATCCTGCTTTTTTCTTATGAGCTCAAAGTGTCTTGCATCATTCTCTTCCTCCTGCTCTCCATCTTATCCCCTCAACCCAAACCCTGTGAGGTGCATTGTACTGAGAAAGTCCCCCATTTGGCTCCATGGTGGAGTGGAGACTAGAACCCAGATCGCCTGAGTCCCAGATCTGCACTGTTAGCCACTTCACCACCCTGACTCTAATCTTGTATCATATTGGGTGGCCCTAGCCTTTTCTCCCTCCACCCCCAAATGCTTCCAAAAACATTTTCTCTCTCTCTCTCTCTCTTGATTTATATGTTTAATCTGATATACAGAAAAAGAAAAGGGGGAAAGTGTCTAAAGTTGCCGTATGACCATAGAGATGCAGCTGACTTGGCTCTTTCTGCACCAACTGAGAGTGGAAGCAGGAGGCTCTGGATGGAGATCCCCCGCCATGAGGTTGGGGCAATTTTCCAGCCTCATACCTGGCAAACAAAGCAAACTTACAGCTTACAACTATCTATGTGTTGTCAAGTGTCCTGGTACTGAAGATTGGCAAGTAAATACAGGAACGGTAACAAGCAAACAACAATGCAATCCTATTTGACTCTTTCCCTCACTTCTCTATATAGTATTTGTACTTACACTAGCCTTCCCCAACCAGATGCCATCCACGTATGTTGGACTAGAACTCCCAGCATGTCTGGCTGTGGGATGCTAGGAGATGTAGTCCAACAGACCAGAGAACACCAGATGTGAACAGCCCTATCTAAGAAGGTCAATTTCCTTGTGTAATGAGGCACTGCTGGATTAATGGTTAATTAATCTGTTTTTAAAATCTTTAATTAATGTCCCTATCAAATTGGGCAGCAGATTTACTGCTTAGAAAAATGGCAGATGGTAAGCTTCATCTTAAAGGAGGTATTTTCCTCTCTCATACAGAGAAAGAATGCTTCTTCCAAGAGGATGCTTGCTAGGACAGCTGGGAGCATCCTGTCAAAACAAAGGAAATTCTCTTCCATCAGAATTTATGGGATATAATTGATCAGTTTGTTGATTAAACAACCCAAACTCATTTGACTAATTAATCATTGTTTCTTTAGTCAGGTTACAGTGCTGCAATGTTAATTGTTTATTTACTGATGTATATTGTACATTTTATTTACAATGTAAATAAAATACAGTTGTTTGTTTTCAGGTGCACGCAAAGACAAAGAGAGCTGCAATCCCAAAGCAACATTAATTAGCCCTGCATCCATAATGCAGCTTCTGCTAATTAGAAACCTCTTTACAAATTTGCCTGGCCAGCTCATCTCTTTTTGGTCCAAGTAAAGCCTTCCTTCCTTGTAAGGCTCCTCCTAGGCCATTGTGGAGAGGTCTAGAACACCTCTCAATTTGGTACGACAGACTAGCTTGGCTATAACAATGCAATTGCAGAATCTTAAACTAGAAACTAGTTTATTATTCACCAGGCATAAGTATGTGCAGCAGTCAATGTATGCCTTTAAGAGTGTTTCTTGTTAAATTGTGTCTTCACAGACAACACAGAGTGGGCCTCAAAGTCCACCGGAATGTGGCTGCCGTGGGGATTTTGGATTTCGAGGTTATCAAGGCCCCCCAGGCCCCCCAGGCCCCGCTGGAATGCCAGGTAAAAATTTGGGAACCTCCTTGCATCGTTATGTCAGGGCGGCCGCTGGAGTATGTGCTGCTGCACTTGTGCTGCTGCCTTAGTCATAGCAACTATTCCTGATCTGATTCCTTTCCCTCTCTGTTCCCTTGGTTCACTTCCACCATCCCCTGCATCAGACGCATGCTGGGAAGGAGCACTAGGGAGTTGTAGAATTCAGTGTCTTACATAAACAGGTGTCCCTGTGTCCTCGACTTATGTAATGGTGTGCTTGCACAACATGCAAGTAACAGAGCTGGTTCCAGGGTAGGCATGATTGGGCACCTGTTGATGGCACATGTCCCAGCAGGGGCCCACTGACAAGACCCCCTCCTCCCGGAGTTGTTTCTTTCATTTCTATACCCCCTCCCTCCCACAGCCAAAGCTCTCTGGGTGGTTTAAATACAACAGAAATATCACAAAATCAGAAAAAATAAAACAGCTAAAAACAGACAATAAAACAGGAGATAGCAAAGAATGACTCTGCAAAACACCTGGTAATTTCCCTCAAGTCCCCGCGTGGCCAAATAAGTCTTTAAAGGCCTCAGAGAAGAGGGCTGTGTTAACCTGGGCCCAAAAAGACGACAGATTCACCTTGCCCTGTATGTCAGCAAAGCTGGAGAAAATTTTTACATGATGCACTAAATTTAACATGGTATAAAAACGGAAAATGTTTTCACTGTTACAATTTGGAAGAGAGGCACTTCATAACAGAAAACATTTCAACGACTTCCAGAAACCCTTTTGTTTCGTAGATTTTACAGATAGGATATTTATGGGTTAGTTACCTCAGCTACCCCTGCCTCTGACTTGTTCACCTACTTCTCATTCTCGGCCTACTTGCTCCCTGGCTTTCTGCCTGTCAGGCGAACGCGTGGCCACAGGGACGAGAAGGATGCTGAGGAGTGAGAGCATCTGGTGACATGGAAGTGCAAGGAGAGGCCGTTAAGGGAAGCATCCCCTTGAGACTGCCATGCCCAGGCACCCTCCAACGTCTAGATCCTCCACTGCTTATAACCAAGGTGTCCGGCTGTTCTTTTTGCTCTGCAGGCCATTGGCAGCAGGAGCAGTTTTAATGTCCTGACCATTAAAAAGCAATACAACTGGTTGGTTGGTTTGATCATAGTAAATTTTCTTCAGGTCTTTGTTAGTATTCTAAATCCAGTGATAAATGCATACACAGTGCCTATAAGCAGATTCAGATAGCCAAAATATGCCTTTTCAAATAAGTTCACAATGATGAATAGACTTTATTTGAATAAGCTACGAAACATTCATTCCATAAAAGTGCAGTATAAGAGTCCAGGCAAGAAATATCTGTTGAGATCTGTAATACCAATGACAGTGCTAATGACAGTGCTGATCAGTAAAAAAAAATCTGAAGCCATGGGGAATTTGGCAACCTAACAAAGAAACTTCTCACATTCTTAGATTATACAGTGTATTGATTTAAAAGCAGTAAAAAGAATCACAGAACACACAGTTGAAGAGAATCCATGTCTAGTTTTACTGTTCAAGTTCAAGCATGTTCCATCTGCTATTTAACTTAATAGTGAACAACTTGGTTCACATTTAGAACTAAAAATTTATAGTACTTTCTATTGACTTTTCAGAAGCCATGAACAAGTAAATAATTTTATTCCTGCACTGGTAATATCACACATATTTCTTAAGTATAGGGATGCTGTAGAAAAAATAAATTATTTGAATTTCAGCAGCAGAAGTTTGAGTCTACCCTCACCAACTTCCCATACCAGAAGGACCTCCAGACCAGCTCCCACATCAGAAACACCCTATCTGAAGTTCTATCTTATATACCAAGTCCTATCTTATATACTATGTCAATGCAGTTTAATAATGTCATCAGTACCCGTCAGTATGTTAGGCCTTGGTTGAGACCTAGTGTTATTTATATATATAAGGTATAATCCTGAACATCTGGAATATTTTCATACATGATCCAAAGGACCGTCCTGAGACTTTTTGTAATGGGACAGAATAGGGTAGGGTTAGGGGTAGAAAAGCTTAAAATAAAATAAATATTTTGCCTGTTACCAAATAAGAGTAGCTTCCATTTCACTGTTTTATATTTGCATAGGAAAACATTTTAAACTTGTAATACAGTTTGCCATACCACATTCCACCAGCTGCTGATTGATTGGTGTTTTCCTGACTTTTGTTCAGTCTTCCCCAAATTCCCCAGGCACAAGGCTTGTCTACACAAGGCTGTTAATTCTGTATCTACTTTCAGTTTGGTCACACCATTGACATCATAGATCTACACAGAATTTTTCCTTTCCTTTTTTTCCGCTTCATAAGCTCCAGGTCAGCTGTGCTATAGAACAGTAGCTCAACTACATGAGGAGAAAATGCGTAATTTTCCATTTCCCTAGAAAATAATACCCTATTTTCTCCATTCTAAAAGAACCCAGTCTGAAAAAACAGAAGGGAACCTGAAAGATCGTGTGTAAAGAACCTGTAAGCAGCCTTAAATCAGGGATCACAAGTAAAGAATAAATGCCTTGTGTATAAGAATTCTTAGTTACTGGCAGACCTTTAAGATATCTGGCATTTCTGGCCCACCTCTTTGGATTTTGGCCTCATCCCCTGTACATTTCCTTCCCTTTGGGCCCCAAAAGATACCACTCCACTATGCAAGATTTTTTCTGTGCCTTACCTATTTTTCTATATCTTATAAATTTGCTGTGGTTCTTATTGTACAAATGAATATGTATTTTAAGGATTACATTTAAATGAGTATCTTGATCAGAAATGAAGTTGGATGGGGTAGTCCTTTTAAACACAGCTTTATACTGAATAAGTTGTTCCTTGATTGTGCTAAGGAAATCATGGAAACAATGGCAATAATGGAGCACCTGGTGTTGAAGGAACAAAAGGTGACAAAGGAGACAAGGGGGACATGGGACCAAGAGGAGAGCGGGGCCACCATGGCCCCAAAGGAGAGAAGGGCTACCCTGGCATCCCACCTGAACTTCAGGTAAACATTTTAGAATACTATCTTTTTCATAATCCCTTTCCTAAATAAAATAGAAAATGAATAAGTAAATCTGTTGTTCAAAATACTGGCCAATTTTGTATTTTCAAGGGTTATCTTATTAACTAGACCAGGAGTGGGCAGAATAGTGATCTAGCAGAGGGCCAGAAGCCATTAATTACAGCAAGATGTAAAAGAATAGGTTAGACAGGTTGACATAATGCTGGAAAGACCTTAGGTCTGAGTTTGAATGCTCAGTCTAGGAACCTCTTTTCAATACCAGAAGCCTCCTTTATTTCAGCAGCCTGATTTAGAAAAATATTTTTGTTATCGCTTTAGCTAATCATCCAGAGATCTACCAGTGGACCCTCTACCCACTCCTGCTCTTGAGGTGCTTGAAGTGCAAGATTAACTCCTAATAGATAATCAGGTTCTATAATGAAATTGATTCACCTCTATGGAGCACACACTTTTCGCCCAATATTGGGAAAATATATATGATATAGAAGTGTGAGATTTTTCTTTCACACAAAGTCTGAAGACAGCTTTGTTTTTCTGTACATGAAAGCTAGGCAAAAATTTCACCATCCAATGATTTGGTTGCACTACCGATGGTCCAGAATTTCTTGCTGGGCTGGCTGGGCAGGGATCATGTCCTCATTCTTTCTCTTACTACTGTGTGTGGCCATTCCTGGGAGCCTGACATTGAGCTCAAGGTGTGGGGAGAGGAGAGAGAAGGCCAGAAAAAAACAGCCAATCGGCTGTGCAATGCAGAGGCACTCACAAGGCAGACAGCATCGTGCAAGCGCCAGGCACTCTGGGGGCTGAGCTTCTGCCTGCTGTCTGGATCTTGGAGTGTGAGTGAGGGAAGGGAAGAAGGGTGCATTGAGCTGGCTGAACCACTACCTCAAGGAGGGCTCCTGGAGGCAGTGGCCTGATTGCCCCTTCTCCTTTTATGAGGGGCTTCACTGGAGACTTTCCGCACTGGTGGGAGAGGCCCGATGGACTGAATTCTTCTGATGGGCTGGAGGCTCTGCACTCTTGCACTAAAGTATCAGTTGCTCTAGTTCTGCAGTAGTGAGCAACATGTAACCTCCAGATGTTTTGGCCTACAGCTCCCATCAGCTCCAGCTAGCACAGTCAATGGTGAGTCATGACGGAGTTGTAGGTGAAAACGTATGTGGAGGGCAACAGGTTCTAACTCCCACTCTAGTCCTTTACAGTGATACTCTTTGCCCATCCTCACAAAACGGGTGACTTTGCCCATGCGGGATTGCTGTGGCTTCAAGGTTTCTTTGAGAAACAGACTGAAGAAGAGGTACATCCCAGCATTGACATGCAGCAACTGGCAACCAGGTGGCAGTGGAGTTAAAGCTTTGAATGTAGATTTAATTGAAGGAGAAAGAACCATGTGGAAACCTGTGGCTGTTTTGTCCTAGAAGAAAGCAAGCTTCCTGTGAAAGGGCTCTAAAATATAGCTAGAGGTAATGTTCACATTTTGCACAGATCTTGGGACAAAGGAACATTTGGAGGATTTGGCACCATGCCAGTAGAATTGCAAGATTGAAACACAGAGAAGGGTTTGGGGTATATTTGCTAAATTAGATTTCCAACATCATATGGTGTTTAAATTATATGACTTTGAAAAGCTACTTTAACTGATCTTTATAATTCACTGTGCCCTGTTGCACAAGGGGAACTGGATTAGATTTTACTCTTCGGATTAGTTCTAGGAAAATAGATAGGATTTTCTTCCATCTAAACATGCTTGGATTCACTCTGCATCTGGCCCCATGAGAACGCGGAAGGTGGCCCACTAGGGAAGCTCACTGAAGCCCCGACTCTTTCATTTGAACCCCTGAATCTCTGGAGGCCGTCTGCCCCATCGCCCTGCTGCCTGTGGGCACTTGCTGAAATAACAGTACAGCAGCAGGCTTGATGGGACCTGGATTCGTGCCTTTTTGCCCACATGTGCGTCATTTCCTGCTCCCTCCATATGAATATTTTTGCCAATTTTTTCCTGAAAGCTAACACAATCTATCTATACATCCCTTTCTAGAAATAGGAGTGTCCTCAGGAAATGGGGTCTTTTACAGACATTGGAGCATATATAAATTAGCATACACACATTAATGTTTTGTTTTGTTTTCCTGTGGGCCTGAGCCCTGAAACATTGAAACCTGGTATTTCTCCTGTTCACCAGCACCAAAAAAGCACGGAAGATTCCCCATTTTAAAATTTTTATCTTCACAGAAGGGAACACTTAGCATACATATCAAAGCATATTAACAGTTAAGTGATAATTTGCCAGGTCTCTGCTCTGCTTTCAGCCTATTTCACACTTGATCATCCTGTTACAGTATCCCAGTTAAAGAATTGAGAATGACAGAAGCTGGGAATACTGTTCCTCAGGAAATCATATTTTTGGGGAATTTCTATACTTATGCTAAATAGAGCAGCTAAGTTAAATACAGCTAGGTGATTTATTTTACTATCTGTCTGTCTGTCTGTCTATAGCATTTGTAGAGCAGCTAAATTAAATAGAGCTAGGTGATTTATTTATTTATAGCATTTGTATGCCGTCCCATTGCATAGCCTCGGGACAGCTTACATAAATAAACATAAAACATAATACAGATAAAATACTAATTGGTTTGGTGATTATTTAATTGGCAATTTGACAAGGGTGGCTTCAATGCATATGTGTTTGCCCTGCTGGGAAAAGCCCTTACAGAATGAGTGGAGTCTTTTACCAAGGTGCTGGATAAAGGAGCTCTGCCAGCCCAGCATCTTACCCAATGGAAGGAGGCATTGGGCAGTTCCAGCCCCCAAAGCACCACAAGAGGAACTCCAGCCAAGGACATAACATTAAGGCCATTGCCATGCCTTCTAATACCAGTATCATCAGGCCTGCAGGAGGCTGATGAGTGGTCATTTGGTCCCCCAACCAATTTTAGGTGCCCACCCATAAGCTATTGAATTCAATCAGAATACAGTAAAGTGAGTCACTATTGTCAGGGACAACAATCGAATTGTATTCACAATTAAAGATCTGCATTAAAAGTGAATTCGACAACTTTTATGAACTCTGCATATTAAGAAAACTTGTGCAATGGCTTTATTATCTGCTGAAACTCTGCTCCCATGTTAGCCCAGTCCTATACATGTTTACTCAGAATACAGCCCCACGTATGCCCAAGTTGACTGGGTTGGAGCTTTCCTCACTGGCTTCTTTGGGAAAGCAAACTATCTGTTCTTTTCCTCAGGCAGCAAGATAACTTGGACAATTGGGCCAGGGGACCTAGTTACTACAGTGGTCCCCAGTGTGATCTCAAATGGAGCCATATGACCTTTTCTAGCTGCATGTGGTTTTCTTGATGCACATGAATAGTTCTCTGTTCCTACATAAATCAATGGGGCTCTTGTCACTGGAGTATGCTGTGACCTGGCCCAAGTCCTAAAGGTATGTACCTCTAGGAAAGGAAAGCAAATATGCTCCAAACCAAACTTGGTAAGAAGCTCACATGGAATGGATCAGTGCCAATCACGTCTTCCAATTTGTCTTTGTTCTTCTTGGTAGCTGCCCTTTAAACACAAACTGTTTTCATGTAGGTTGCATTCATGGCTTCAATGGCAACCCACTTCAGTAATCAGAACAGTGGAATAATCTTCAGTAGTGTTGAAACCAATGTTGGCAACTTTTTTGATGTAATGACTGGTCGATTTGGTGCACCAGTGAATGGTAAGTATAAGAATTGTAGATCCTAATATTTGCCATGAAACATGTGCTGCTGGTTTGGGTAGGAGGTTTTCTTGGGTTTGGGGCCTTGGAATGGCATTGAGCTTCACCTCTAGTCTCTAGACTTGTTTTCGGAAGCTTTTCTCCATTGACTAGAATGGAAAAATGAACATTTTAGTAAGGTGTAAATCAAATTTTATGTGTTTCTTGGGAAGTTCTTCAGTATCATTCCATTGTAGTTGGAAGTCCATTGCAGTGTTCTTGTACACCATTCAGAGAACCTATGGCTGATTGTATGGTATATAAAAGATTTTAATTAATAAATAAGACAGGAAACTGAAAGGGAAGAAAGGCAAAGGGGGCTTCCAGAAATTTTGGCAAAAATAATGCCCTCATCACTACCTTGTATGCACATTTTAATAAACCATATGACCATTTTTCAGGGGTGTATTTCTTCACCTTCAACATGATGAAGCATGAGGATGTGGAAGAAGTATATGTTTACTTAATGCACAATGGCAATACAGTGTTCAGCTTATACAGGTGTGTTGACTTGTATTTGTGGATTTCGTACATTTACAAACTCTTCCAAAGAGATGGAGAGGGAGTGCAGCGCAAGCAGAGCTGTTCTCGGAATGCAAATAGTTCCAGATTCGATCGATAGCAATCAAGGTTAACAAACTGTCAGGGTGCAGGGGTTGGGAAGCACCTCCATGAAGAGCAGTTGTCACTCAGAATAGATGATACTGGCCTAAATGGAAGATTGGTCAAATGCTGATAGAAGGCTGCTGGGCTTTTAGTACGGGAGGTTTGCTCTGAAGTCTTTCAAGGTGCCACCCAGTGCGCCTGGCCATAATCCTCTGACCTCAGATGGGCTCAGGCATCCAACTGAGTATTCCTCTCACCTTGCAAAAAGACGTACACAGCCACGTTCAGGCACCTATGTCTTTCACCTCTGCTTGTGAGCAGGGGCTGAGAAACTGCCTAGACTCTTTATAGGATCGCAGTGCCTCACTCCTCCCTGAGCCCAGATTGCTTCCCCTGAAGAACCTGTTCCAAAGACAGTATTTCATCTTTGGAGATGCAGCTGGCAGGGGAGGAACTGTGCTGGCTGTGAAGCGGAGGGAGAGCCCTCCCACTGTGTCCTTGGAGGGCTTTTATGAAGTTGCAGCTGGGACTCTGACATTTCCTCTTGCTAGCCAGTCAGCATCTGCTGACCCTAAGGGAGCAATCCTATGCATGACTAGACAGAAAAAGAATTTGTAGGACTTTTTAATGTCTAATCATACATAGGCTTGTGCCTTAAATGAAGTGTACGTTAGAACGATAACCACGCTGCCAAAAAATGAAGCTTAACTGTTGGAGGGTTGAATTGCAGCTGAGAAGCAACAGAGAAAGAAGGAGCACTTTCCCCTTTTGCAACCCACCACTTTCTCCTTGAACCCTCGCCCCAAGCAAGAGGGCCAGGCCTCCATTTCTTTAAGGGAACATTGCTTCAATACAAGAGTGTTTAGCATGTTAAGGCATAAAAAACTGTTCGCCTACTGTTCTCTCTTTTTTCATAGCTATGAATCAAAAGGAAAAACAGACTCATCGAGCAACAGTGCAGTGCTTAAGCTCTCCAAAGGAGATGAAGTTTGGCTGCGAATGGGCAATGGGGCACTGCATGGAGATCATCAACGCTTTTCCACTTTTGCAGGGTTTCTTCTTTTTGAAACCAAGTAGAGCAATGTTTTAAGGGAGACATTACTGTTATTTTTCTCAGTTCATTGGAACAACATGGTACCATCCTAAGACTGCAAGGCATTTACTGAAATCAATTGTTGGTGATTATGGAGTATGGTAGGAAAAGTTAGGCCTGAAGTGACATATGCTGTCGAATGTCATTTTGCATCATATTATCATGCTGTAGCCCTCATACTGCTGTAGTTCTTGAGTAGTTACTGAAATCCTGTTCAAGAATGTAATGGCACAGCAATGAGTCTTCTGCTCTCTAATCCAGAGATTTCAATGTGGCTTCATACCTTTATGGATTTGTTGCATACACAGGCCTAGTTCCTTCTTTAAAATTTATAAGGAAATCATTGTGTTGAGGGTGTCAAGTTTTGGGAGTTTTGAACTCTCATATCTATAAAAAAATCCAGATGTAAATCCATAGTACCACCTTCAGTATGGAAAAATGACTATGAATGATGTTTTCTGTGCAGAATATGCCTTGCTGAACTGAAGTATCCAGGTTTGGGGGTAAAGCAAGCATTTAAAGAAGCTAATTAGATTTCCCCCCCTCATGCATGTGTTCACTATGAACGTACGTCCATTGGAATAGGCTAGACAATTTTGAACTTAACCTCTGAATTGCTAAAGTCATTGCCAGCCTGTGTATAAAGCTTCCATTTAGGGAAAAATATTGTTAGGTTTTCCTTTCTATATTAATAGATGTTCAAGTCTTTGTTTTAACTCTCTGAATAATCTTCAGATAGGTTAAGTTGAACCAGGCATGGTAATTTTAATGCGGGGTGGGGTTATGCAGTGAAAAAATGGCCCCTTCCTGAGCTGTGCTGCATCTTGCACCACCCAGGGAGGAGAGGTGTGTGGATTTTCTGTTTCGCATTTTACCTGTTCATCCTTTTAAAAAAATACTTCCCTTCCAATTGCCACTACTGAAAGGCAAAATAACTATGCCAGTTCCAGGGCTGCTATACTTCTTTGCCCTTTCTGCAAGTGCATTTGAGCTATGAAGGGGCGCTTGGATCAAGCGGATCAAAGGCCTCTTGAGATCTGCCCCAGGAAGTTTGCGATCATTGGCTCCTACTTTGTCTCGCTGGCAGTACAGGCATTAGAGAAGGTGCTCTCAGGGGCATAAGTGCTGCTCTTAATGATGTAGCTCCTTTCCATTAGCAGAGCAGCACTTCCACAAAATCTTACCATCTGTTGGAGATCTGCTGATGGCTTATACAGGAATGCTGCCTTAGTCCTTCATGAAATGAATTATAAACTGGAAGCTTCAGGAGCATTGACCTAATGGGGTTGTGGAATGAAGAATATAGCATTTTTTATAATGTAGGCTTATTTAGGTTGCATCAATCAAGATTTTAAAGTATATTAACATAATGTTGGCATGTTCTAAAAGTCATAGATTCAATCTGTCCTTTAATGCTTAGCATTCTGAGCCTAGCTGTAGTATGAAACACTTCTAGATCTGTTATGAATGCGTTTTAAGTATTTGCTTATTTTGTAAATGGAACTTATTAATTAAATGCCCTTTTGGATAAATCTCTTGTGGACACTTTTAGAATAACTACCCCCCTTCTGAAAGCTAAATGAGTAGCGCATGCTGGAGTTTAAGACTTTAGAAGGGGAGGCTGCCACATTAGAAAGAACCAGAATGTGCATCCAAAGACACACACTTTCTGACAAAAGTCTGGAGAAGAATGACAGTGCAAAAGCTACACCAGCAGAGTTGTTGTTGTTGTTAGTTGCGAAGTCGTGTCTGACCCATCGCAACCCCATGGACAACATTCCTCCAGGCCTTCCTGTCCTCCACCATCCCTCGGAGTCCCCTTAAGCTCACACTGACTGCTTCAGTGACTCCATCTAGCCACCTCATTCTCTGCTGCCCCTTCTTCTTTTGCCATCTATTGTTCCCAGCATTAGGCTCTTCTCCAGGGATTCCTTCCTTCTCATTAGGTGGCCAAAGTATTAGAGTTTCATCTTCAGGATCTGGCCTTCTAAAGAGCAATCAGGGTTGATCTCCTCTAAGACTGACTGGTCTGATCACCTTGTAGTCCAAGGGACTCGCAGGAGTCTTCTCCAGCACCACAATTCAAAGGCCTCAATTCTTTGGCACTCAGCCTCCTTATGGTCCAACTTTCACAGCCATACATTGCAACTGGGAAAACCATAGCCATCTGCAGAGTAGTGTAACACAAAAAGGAGAATTAAATCCAAAGTCATACAGCTTCTTCTCACATGATTCTCTTTGATAAAAGCAGGAAGTTGGGGTTTATTTAAATGTGCCATATTATCTCCAATGGCATGGTGTAAATCAGGGGTCTCAAACTCAAGGCCCGCGGGCCAATTGCCGGGAGGGGCGGGGCACAGGGGAGGCGCCCTGCGGCCTTCAAAGCACCGGCGGCACCCGGGCCGGCCTCCGGGAGTGACGCGGGATGAGCGGCCCACCACCAGCGCGGTGGTGGAATCCTTGATGCGGCCCAGCCTCACCCAGACTCTACTTCCAGTGGCCCCCAGGTGAATTTGAGACCCCTGGTGTAAATGCATACTTGCCTTTTCATACAGGAGTGTCTTCCTTTAAAAACTGTGAGACCTTTGTTTACCCTAGTATAAGGGAGACAGCTGGAGTTTCATTAAGCATGGCTGTTCTCTGCTTACTTAGGGTATGACTCCACATGGCAATCTCCACATCCACATCTTCCCCTTCTTTCCCACTTTCAAAACTCTATTCTCAGAGGTTTTTGTCAGGGTTCCAAGGCCTGCACTTTCAGCATGAATATTTGTTTAAATATACATGCATCCTACTTCTTATTTGTTCATAGCTGGTATTATGTACCCTAACAGGAAAGCACAATGAAATCTTGAATCTTATTCTTGTTGCACCTCTCAGACCCAGGAGCAGAAGGATAGTTCACTATTTGATCAAAGTGGAAAATATTCCACTCCAAACTCAAAGAAAAGAATCCAAAATGTCCTCTTCAACTGGTCTAAGTATCCAAGTGTGTATTACCTATGAGCAAAGTTTGAACCTGAGTCTTGTACTTCCAAAGTCAAGACTTTCATCCTTTGAGTGATCTTGGGAAGCAAACTTAATGGAACTTCAATCCAACCACAGTTACAACTGGCAAAGAACAAACTATTTTGGTAACTGAGGCAGAAAATTCAAACATGTTCCTCTTGTTAGCAGAAATATAGCAGCCAACAATTCAGGTGTACTCAAATATTTGCTGCTCTGAGGAAATTTGCCTTTTTCTGCCTAATAACAAACCAATAACTTGTTTTAAAAAGAAATGTACATGTTGATAATTTGTTTAAACTGATTGCTGGAGTTGTTTCCTGCTATTAAAGTATTTTAACATAATTTCCTGCTACATTTTGAACATCATAGGAACATAGCAAGCTGCCTTATGCCAAGTCAGATCAATCTACATCAAAAAAGGAATAAAAATAATTTCAAAGAAATCACATGCTAATCTGCCATCTGCAGGAGAGCATCTGTAAATAAAATAATTCAATACTAATGAAGCACCATGCCCCAGTCTCTGCCTATGATTTTCTTAGTCTAAAAAATATAAAAGAGAAGTTGAATACAATGCCCTTACTTCAAACAATCATGGAACAACTAATTGGGCCCACTGAGTCATCAGATGGAAGTATTCTAATTTTTTGAAATAAAACACCATAAATGAGAGACAAAAATACTCCACACTCTTTATTATTTATTTATTTATTTATTAAAACATTTTTATGCCGCCCCATTCACCGAAGCCTCGGGGCGGCTTACAACAATAAATTAAAACATCATAAATAACATTTTAAACTATATACATTAAAATAAAATACAAATATACAATATAAAATAAGCCACCCTGGCCCAATAAAATTCAATAATATTATCATTTAAAATGCTGCTTAAATAAAAAGGTCTTCGCCTGGCGCCGAAAAACAAATAACGACGGCGCCAGGCGGACCTCTCTGGGGAACGCATTCCATAACTTAGGCACCACCGCTGAGAAAGCCCTCCTCCGAGTAGCCACCCTCCTAATTTCCTTCACTGAGGGCTCCCGGAGGAGGGCCTCTCCCGCCAATCTCAGGGGGCGGCTGGGCATATATGGATGCAAGCGCTCCTTCAGGTAACCAGGACCCAAGCCGTTTAGAGCTTTGTAGGTCATCACCAACACCTTGAATTGGGCCCGGACTTCAATGGGAAGCCAGTGAAGCTGACTGAGAACTGGAGTCATGTGAACATAACGCCCAGTCCCCGTCAGCAGCCTGGCAGCTCTATTTTGAACCAATTGAAGTATCCGGACCTTCTTCAAAGGTAGCCCCACGCAGAGCGCGTTACAGAAGACGGGAAGTCACCAGCGCATGTGTCACTGTCTCAAGGCAGTTGTTCTCCACGTAGGGGCGCAGCTGATGAATCAGCCGAAGCTGGAGGAAAGCGCTCCTCGCCACTGCTGTTACCTGAGCTTCCAGTGAAAGCTCAGGGTCGAGGAGCACTCCCAAGCTGCGGACCTTGTCCCTAAGAGGGAGTGCAACCCCATTCAGGGCCAGGTCAAATCCACCCTCTCCGAAGCCCGATCCGCCAACTAACAGGACCTCCGTCTTGTCTGGATTGAGCTTCAGTTTATTGGCCCTCATCCAGCCCATTTATGTTTACTATCTTTTTTCTGAACCCCTAAAAGAAAACTGAACTCTACTTCCGGAGTAACTTGAGGGCCTATCCACTCAAGCATTTGTATTGGCGTATCACATGCATTATAAGAAGCAACTTCGATTTGTTCTAGGCTGTTTCTAGCAAGTGAAAATATAATGTAAAATAAGTATTTTGCTTGGACTCAAAATATGGTCTACAATTCCGCACATGCCCGAGCAAGGAAGCCTAGTTAGAGGGATGCAGGGAGTTATAGGACTCCTCACCTCCCTCTACCCATGCCTTCCCCAACCTGGTGGCATTCAAAGGCATCTGGACCGCAACTCCCAGAATTCCCATCCAGCGGGGCCATTGACTGGGAATTCTGGATGTTGCAGTACAAACGTGTCTGGGAAGAACAACGGTTGGGAAAGTCTGATCTACAGGCTTGCACCCTTACTTTTCTACCTAACAATCCACTCTTCACAGAGGAAAGCATAAGGCTGCACACTCAGCATACCAAAACTAGGGGAAGTCCCAATGAACACATTTCTGCCCGCCCTCATGAAAGCTTGGGACTAGATGCCACCTCGTCATCCGATGAAGTGCACTGTGGTGCAGTAATAATAAAAATATGCTGCCAGGAATCTGTATGGTGCCACCCGACTGGGCCGTTATTGGCACATAGTGTCTCCCAAAACACGTGTCCTCAGGAGTGAAGTCCCGTGGACCACAAGCGCCCTCACTGTGACCCTTCGAAGCCAACCTTCGTCCCTACGACCCCTAAGCTAAGAGGCGCCCCCGCGTGTTTCGCTCGGCGGCCTCGACCTTTGGAATCGCCGCCCGGAGCTCGGCTCGCCTCACCCACCCCTAGGAGGAGGCGCAAAGGCGGCCCCGGCTAGCTGGGGTGGAGGCGTCCGCTCGCTCCCGGAGTCTTTCCTTCCGTCCCCGCCTCGCCTCGCCTCCTCCCGCCGCCGCCGCCGCCGCCATGGCGCTGCACGGGCTGCGAGTCCTGGAAATGGCGGGGCTGGCGCCGGCCCCGCTGTGCGGCCTTATTCTGGCCGACTTCGGGGCACAGGTGGTGCGGATTGACCGCTCGCCCCACACGGCCGTGGCCACGGACGTGCAAGGCCGTGGGAAGCGCTCGCTGGCGCTGGATTTGAAGCAGCCCCAGGGCTCCGCGACGCTGCGGAGGCTTTCCCGGACGGCGGACGTCCTTATCGAGCCCTTCCGACCAGGTGCCTCTTGGTATCCGCCGCTTGACGCGGCGTTGCTCTGACTTGGCACAAGACGACGGGGAGGATCGGGGAGGCGGAGTGGCCCCCTGCGCAGCCTTCCCCAACTGATGCCCCTCAGTTGTTGGGGGGCGGGGAATCCGCCCCGTTTTATCCGCCCCCAGCCAGCATGCTTAATGGCCAGACATTCTGGGAGTTGTAGTCTATCTGGAGGGCACCCGGTTGGGGAAAGCTGTTATAGAGCCGAGGACAGGAGTGTGGGCTGGGCTGCATGATCTGCGCTGACCTTAGGGGCCATGGGAATGAAGCTGTGGAAGGTATCACAAAAGAAATTTAAATACACAATCTGCCATAGTGCTGTAGATTGACCGGGTGACCTGTGTTGGTGCTCAGTCTGCTCTTCTCCAGGTGCGCACTGGAGATGGGCAATTTCAAGGCCCTGCTCGCTCTCTCTTGTTCCACTTCAAAGAGAGGACTGCTCTTCATAGAGTGGATATGGACATCCTAGTTGATGGAGAAATTTATATTACAAGTGCCCATGTTTGCAACATATCATAGGGCAGCCTTCCCCAACTTGGTATCCTCCAGCATTTGGCACTCCCATTATATGCCATTGCTGGTGGGGGCTGTGGCTCAAAATATGTGGAAGACGGATGGGGAGAGTTATTTTTGGGAAGACAGCAGAAGAGGGTGGATTCACATAATCATATTTTGTTTGTTCTCTGCTTGTTTGGGGAGGCTCCTGTCTTTACTCCCATCTCAAACGACACATACCCCTTTGCCCCTGGCCTGGTGCAAATGTTTCTGAGAATGGCCCTCTTAGACAAGAATTAGAAGAACTGGGGAAACCCTTTGTTCTGCTTTCGCTGTCACAATCTGCAAACTAGGAACTCTTCTCACCACTTTTGTGAAAGAGTTTCATTCAGAGGGAGTATTGTGATGTTCAAGTCCCTCAAACAAAAGGAACGATCTCACAAGTTATTAGGTCACTGTTTATAGATTAATCCATTTAAACAAGTATATATTCATGTGTTATTGTTCCATCTGAACCCTGCACTATAGCTTAATTTGGATTGTTAACCACGAACCACCCAGGAAGAGAAGTCATGGTTGTTAGGTTGAGAATTCTGGGTTGTGATTAATAGACCATAGTCCAGAGTTCACACAGAACAGTAACCCATGATTCATTGACAACCCATGTTCAGCCCCAATTGCATTTATTATTACAGTCTCACTGTTGTTTTCCTTCTATGAATCTGTTTACAGCTGATCAGGCCTTGTTCTCATGCACTGATTAGTTGTCCTTAGGAAACATTTCTAGTCTGGAAGAGCAAAATATATTGCTGAAGTAACACCTGTCCCGGCTTGTACACTGCTCATCTGAATACACTGTTTTCTCAAGCAGTTTTCCATCCAAGTGAAATGCCTTGCCATCACTGGAACTGAATTTCACTTTACATGTTTCTAGAAAGGTGGACTGTGGCTTGCACTACTTCTGTTGCCACTTCTTTGAGATGCCCAAAGCCACCTACAGAAAAAGTAGCAGGGGGTAGAAATGCCTTTGGCTTCTTGTCTCTGCCTTCCTTTCTCAAGTCTGTAGTTGAGGCTTTGCATCTCTTCCCCTGCAGAGATGCACAGACTTTCCTAACATCAGGATATCATGTGTGCCTTCCCACAGTGGGAGCAGAGATGAAGATGTTCCGACTCAAACATACAGAGAAACAAGATGGACTGAGCACTTGTGCTTCCCGCTGTTCCTACATTGGTGCTGCATCTGAAATTGCTCTAGTTTGTCTTTCTCAAAAGTTCAGAATAAAACAACAAAATAGGGGTGTGGAATGTGGTATTAAACAGGTACAGGACCTCAGCATTAATATAGAATTTTTTTAAAGGACCAGTTAGCAATTCTTCCATCATATTCAGTCTGTGTGCTCTGTTCAATACTGTTTATACGGCATTATCTTACGCGGCATGTGCTCTAGCAGTTCTTTAAAGCAACCAAAAATGGGTGGAGGCACTTACTTCTGGACTGGAGTGCATGGAAGGCAGCTCCGTGGATTTGTTCTGATCTGGAAACTAGTGTTTCTGCTTGTTTCTGAGGTTCCGCAACAGAATGAGCAAGGGCATGGTGATAGTCTTGGATATTGCTCAGTCATTCTCATTTGTGAATTTAATACTTTATTTTATACATGTGGTTGACTAGTTATCTCCCTGTTCAGGTGTCATGGAAAAACTTGGGTTGGGTCCAGATATCCTCCTGCAAGAGAACCCCAAACTCATCTATGCAAGACTAACTGGATTTGGCAATTCAGGAAAATGTTTCAGGTCGGCAGGTCATGACATCAACTATTTGGCCTTATCAGGTATGTTGTTGCATAATGTCCTCTTAAAAAGAAAAGAGTTGTCTCCTAGGTTAAATATTAAGTAACTTGAAGAACATTTCTGTTAACATAGTTTTAAATGGTTAGGGTGTTATGTATAGCTGCTCATGCATGTGTGTGAACATGTAGATACACTTGATCATGGGTCCTCAAACTACAGCCCATGGGCTGGATCCGGCCCACCATGCCCATTGATCCGGCCTGCCATAGCTTGCAACGCGTGCACGTGGCGCTTGCTCGCAAGGAGATCGCTTTGGACTCGCTCAGAGAAAAGGATCTCTGTGCACGCATGCCCCTGCCTTTCAGTGCACGTATGCGTGCGCCCCCTGCCCGCATCACCTTGGCAGCCCACACCCATCCCTGGAACCTTTCAGCTGGCCCCCTATTCAAAAGCTTGAGGACCCCTGCACTTGATAATAGTCCATCTTTGCTAAATTTTCAGCAACTGGCCAGTTAGAAAAATAAACCACGTGCGCAGCTTCTGATTCAGCCTTATAATGTATTGCGTTAGTTTTGCTTGTTAGAGTTGACATGTCGGCTTTACTTCATGATCCAGTCATCTATACAAATTACTGAAATGGTTAGCATGTTTGCTAAATATGGTTTTGACTAGACTGCTATGCCTACTTTCCATGGAGTAGAGTCTGTTGAACACAATGGAACTTGCTTCTGATCAGTAACATTTTTAAATGAAAAATATTTTGAAGCTTTAGAAAGCAAATTATAGGTGTTGATCAGAGAAAAAGCTTTGGTGAGAGGAATCCTTCAGTGGTTCTTTTGGCTGTAAGTTCCACTGTGCGTCCATCATCCTTCTTCCTGCTAATTTGCAATGGTCCCCTCCCTGCAGAGTAGATTGAACAGCCGTCAGCCTTAGAATGGAATAAAATAGAAACAGCTGGAGCCTTGATGAACATTTATATCTATGCTCAGAAGACATCATTATGAATTTCATTCCTGAGCACAACATTGTTTTTTGCAATGGCATGAGAAAAATTAATATCAATATTACATTGCATGGGTATCCTTTAAATATGTACTTAATGTATATAGGTGTCCTGTCAAAACTTGGCAGAAAAGATGAAAAACCTTATGCACCGCTCAATCTTTTGGCTGATTTTGCTGGTGGTGGCCTCATGTGTGCTTTGGGCATCATTATGGCACTCTATGAACGTACAAAATCTGGAAAAGGACAAGTAATTGATGCGAGCATGGTAAGATATTTTGTTTTAAAGGTAAACTTAAGACTATTAAAGAATACCATATATGCCGGCATATGAGGCAAGTTGCATTTAAGACAAGGACGATATTTTGGGATGCTATTCTGGTGTTTGTCGTATGTTGGGCATATAAGAGGAGCTCTAATTTTTGCTTTTATAAAGTTGTTTTATAAATAACATTCTACTATAGTTGACTCTGGACTGAAACTGGTCTAGTTCCATCTTAACTATCCTTTAGTTAAGATGGAACTAGATAACTACTTGCTATGCATGAGTTTTGTGTTAGCTAATTCTCGGCCCAGGGTTCAGAAAATTCCATAGTTAGAGAAATAATTATTATATTTTATTTATTTATTTAGAATTTTTGTATGCCGTCCCATCACTTGAGCCTTGGGACGGCTTACATACAATAAATAAACATAATACAAATAGTGCAAATAAAATCCAGATTCACCCTGGCTGCAAATTAAAACCTATAGATGATATTAAAAGTTGTTAAAATATTGTTTAAATAAAAAGGTCTTGGCCTGGCGCCGAAAAACAAATAACGACGGCGCCAGGCGGACCTCTCTGGGGAGCGCATTCCACAGGTGGGGCGCCTAATTGTGGGTGCTGATGCTTATAAGGACTTACTATAGTACCATATTGGATATGCTTGGGCGTGTCCAAATCATGTTACCTGTTTCTCAACAGATGTCAAAAGCAAGCCTTACTCTCTACCCCCTTTTTCCTCTCCAGCACTTAGATGACACCTTGGAAGCACAGTCCATTATTAGAACTGTATAGGTTACAAAACAGCATAGATCAAAGTCCCGTTTTTTTTGAGATGTGGAGGACACACCTGCCCATGTGAAGGCTTCAATCCAAACACAGGCATCCCCTCCTTCCCTCCATTTCAGGAGGATTCTCACTCCACCTTAAGGTGGCTTTTGAGGGCTAGATGGTGGGAATGCTGGACATTTGAGAACAGTAGCCCAGTTGTTTTCACTTGTACTGGTATTGGCATGCTAGAAACAAGTGCCCATTCCAGATCAATTGCACATTTGGTGACAAAGAAGTTGTGGCTAGATGCAAGCTGGTTCTGCCCTTAGGTCCTGCCAACTGACATTTTCTAGGTGCTGGCTGATTACCAAGATGTGTTGTGGTTTTGTCTTTGAACCCAGGCAGCATGGCTTATTGCAGGAGGAAACAACCCTTCAATAAAAGATGGAATGGTTTAGGGCTATTGGAAGGTTGTTTTCCCCTGCAACAAGCCATGCCACCTGATGTTAGATAACACTGTTACAGGAACCCTTTGAAAACTCCTCCTCTGCCCCCAACGTGTCTGGACTGCACCTGACCAAGGACACCCCACTGCCAAGATAGCAGATTTAGCACCCCAACTCACCCAAATGCCGAATCAGGTTACACATTATTGTAAGGGAGGGAGGGCAAGACAGAGTATGGAAAAGAAAGGTAAGGAGGGCAGTGATAGCAACAAAGTTATAAAATATCAGCAGATTACAAAATCCCACTCACAAGCACACACAGTCCTTGTGGCATCCTAGAGGCAAGAGTAATAACATTAACCCTAAACTACACTTTACCTATAACAGGCCCCCTGCTATGAAGACTGCAATGTTTGGTCAGGGAGTGACACCTCTCACTACATCAAGACTAGCAGAAAACAAAAGAGTTTATTGTTAGTGTAGGGTGTTATCTCAGTCACTAGAAGGACTTATCAATCTGAGAAATGTCTCTTTTGTCTGTTACGTTTATATCCTGCCATTCCTCTAAGGAGGCATACATGATCCTCTTCCTTGTCAATATGTTCCTATTAATATTATTTTTAATATATTGTATCTTTAAGGTTGAAGGCGTAGCATACCTAAGCTCTTTTCTGTGGAAATCGCAAAACCAGGGCCTATGGAACAGGCCCCGTGGGGAGAACTTGCTGGACAGTGGTGCCCCTTTCTATGAAACTTACAAAACTGCAGATGGGAAATTCATGGCTGTTGGTGCCATTGAGCCACAGTTCTATGAACAGCTCATCCATGGTAAGCTAGTCTACGTTGTTCTTTTAAGGAGGAAAGAAAGCTTTTCATACTGTTGGTAGTGTTTGTGCATCACTTTAATGGGCACATTGGTTGGCCATCTTTATCGTCACTGGTTGAACAGCAAATATTGCATATTACAGATGGAGAATCTAAGGCTCCGACAATAGGATTTTCCCTAGGTCATCCAATGGGCTTACTGCAGCTGCATACACTCATATTCAAAATCTCGGTCTGCTGGAGGATTGTGGCCAAGCTTCCAGGTTCCCCAGAGAAGTGGGAGCTTTCTTTGAGTAACCATTTTTTCTAATTGAAAGAAAGAACTGTATATGTATTTTTAAAGAATCATTTTGCAGACTTTATGAGTACAGAGAAGCAAGATATATACCTCATCTTGGCCATTTTGGCTAATGGGCAGGATAGAAATCAAATCAATCAATCAATCTGTGGTAATCCATACCATTTGGATTATTGCAATATATTATACATGGGGCTGCCTTGAAAACAGTATGGAAGCTTCAGCTGGTCCAAAACAGGGCAATGAGATTGTTAACAGGAACGGGCCAATGTAATATTATGCCAATATATTTCCATCTGCACAGGCTGGTGGACCAGGACCAGTTCAGAGGGATGGCATGATCAATTTAAGCCCTAAAATGTTTGAGACCAAGTTAAAGGAGAGATCGTTTCCTTCCATAAATACCTGCCTGGACCCTAAGATCAGCTTTGGGGGGCTTTCTCTAAAGGAAATGAGGTAGGGGGCTAGTAAGAAGAGGGTTTTTTCCACTTGGGGATTAAGCTTCCTGGAAAGGCTTGCCTGGCACCCTTGTTGTGCTCTTTTTGGCACTTCCCTGCTTTTCCAGGTACTTTAGTATTTCTGTTTCTGTTTTTTTACATCTGTTATTGTACATTAAATCTTTGCATTGCTGCTAGGTTTTACATAGCTATTTTTATTTATATACTTATAAACCTTTGATTTTTATTTTACTGTGTAGTGTTTTATGATTTTAATTGTGATCCTCCCAGAGAACTTTGGTTGGGCAGTATAAAAAAGTAGTATATGAATAAAATGTGCAGCTCCAGTTAACATGGATCCTGTTGCAAGCAGACTGCAGCTTGAAATGCTGTGGATAAATATTGTTCTTAATGATAAAGCTTTTGGAAAAATACTGGACATTCAGAGGAGGAAGAGGAGGATTATTCACATGTGTAAATGGGATAGCAGCGTCCAAAGGCAAAGTTAAGAAAAATCCTGTGCTTTGTAGTTCATAATCTGTGTTCTCTCTCTCTCTCTCATTTTTGGCTAACCTTTTCATTGGATGTTTGGGATGGAAGAGGAAAGTTTGTTTTTAATTATGTCACCTGCTTCAGTGATTACCCCCCTAAAGCATAAAGCAATTATTAGGTTAACATATTTTAAAATAATGATTCCTCTTTAAAAAGGTAATTCAGTAATTTAAATAGCTACGCTTCAGTCCACATTATAGGGATGCAGGTGGCGCAGTGGTTTAAACTGCTGTGCTGCTGGGCTGGTTGATCAAAAGGTCGCCAGTTCAAATATGCACAATGGGGTGAGTTCCTGTTGCTCCGTCCCAGCTCCTGCCGACCTTGCAGTTCGAAAGCATGCAAATGCAAGTAGATAAAAAGGTGCTACTTTGTTGGGAAGGTAACAGCATTCCATGTACTTTGGTGTTTAGTCATGCCGGCCGCATGATCACGGAGACTGTCTACGGACAAACGCTGGCTCCCTCGGCTAGGAAACGAAGATGAGCACTGCCCCCCAGAGTCAGACATGACTGGCTTTAATGTCAAGGGGAAAACTTTACCTTTTTACCTTTAGTCCGCTTTATGCCACCCTTTTTGCCTTGCTTTAGAAAATTAAAGCTATTCATTATGCTGTCGTGAAGTAGAGTTCATTCACATAGCATAATGATATCAACAAAGTAGTCCATTCAGTTCTGCAGAACAGTGTAGGAACTCCTGAACAGTAAGTTCACAAACATTGAGCAACCAGTTCTGCATCTGCCATTATGTTTAGATTCCACTTCCTTGTGGACTACTTGTGGACTGTGTTCTTTTTTTCTTTCCATGCTTCCAGGTGTATCCCCCTGCTAGTGCCATTAGTGGTGGATGGAACAATCCTGTGCCCACTAGACAGCACCCAGGAGGTCATAGGATCATGTGGATTCCAATCTCTGAGGCTGGAATAGAGCTGAGCTTCAGCATTCAGTTCTCTTGCCCCACCCTTGCAGCTGGTGTGGAAAGAGCCACATTGGCTGCTTTTCCAAAGGCATAAGAGCAACCTCAGAGAAGGGGCTTAGGGGGCATTTGGAGGTGAGGAGAAACTGACAGTGACAAGATCCAGCATGCCCTTGCAGGGTTCCAATCCTCTCCCCACCCCACCCCACCCCTCCAAAGTGCTACGATTAGATTACTGGTGTTAGTTTTCTCTCTGCTTTGCAAAACGAGAGGAGTAGAAAGGCACACTTTACCTTCATGCTCCAACACCCTGCATAGGATGCCTGTAACCCTCCAAATGCTGCATTGCACCTTAGGCTTTATATCCGTAGCTGTATTCCTCATCACAGTACTGGAAGTTCGTCAACAGTGTGCAAAGCCTGAACTCCAGCCAAGGCTGTATGTCTTGAATGAACCTGCTGCAGTCCGCACACTGGTGACGAGGGTGATACTGGCACGGCTCCCAGTATTTTCCTTCATTCAAATATTTGCATCCCACTTTTTCATTTTACACAATCTGTAAGATGGCATCTTATCAGTAGATAAGTATAATAAAAGAACAATGTAATCACAGCGCTAGTAGCAATAAAACAGCAGAACTGAAAAGGAACATAAAATCCGCAACAAATTCTCTGCTACCCAAAAACTTAGATGCAAATGAGAGGTGTTTTTCCTGCATAATTTAGGATGCGATCCTATGCATATTTACACAAAACAAAGTAGGGCACTCTGCACAGGAAAAAGTACAAAGGAGGGCATCCTAAATCTTCTTCTGTGAGAAGAAGAAAAGAAAATGAAAGGTATGGGGCTAGAGCCAGAATTGTTCATTTTGCTTATAACTGTGGAACAATGCAGTGATTATTGGCCAGTCAGTGTTCCATAATAAAATGTTTTTATGTGTTTTTTCTAGGACACCGTACAGCAAACCTAGAATAGTTTTCACTGGGTTTTCCTCAGTTGTAATTTTTTTGTATATTTGCTTAATGTGATTATATTTATATAGCTTCATATAGGACATGCTTTATCTAAAGGTAAAAACAGATTTATAATACTTACATTCCCATAAAATTATTTAAAGCACTATAGTATATACCCATGGGTAATTTACTGTTACTTTAATTTCCTGTTACTCATATTTGCTTGTACTCAGTTCAGTTAAGGTTAAATTTGATATATATGGAAACGTACCAAGCAGTTTCATACCAGAGTAGGCTGTTTTACTTTCTAGACACCCCGCACACATTATAGGAGGTCAGCCATAGAAGCTTGAGAGCATACTTTTCTTCTTTCAACCATGTGGACTTAATAAACAGAGCAAAATGAAGTTTCTTGAATGTCTGGACTATGGGGTCAAAACTTTTGCACTTCCTGGTTTGTCAGGCCAAGAACCTGGGATAGGCAAACTTTGGAGCCTGTGCATATTTGGCAATTTGAGACACTTGCCTGAGCGCACTGAATGGGTGCACTGCAGATGAAAGCATCCGTGTGAAGCCACGTGCCGTCTTCATTTCCTCAAATGTTTCTGAGCCTCATGTGTGGCACAAGGACATTCCTGGGGAAAGAAGAGGCCTTCTCTTTGCTCTGCCTGGCTGCCAGTAAGAAACTTTATTATTTAAGTAGCTATGATCATCACTGTATTGAAAAAGAAGAGGGGAGGGCACCTTGGCAGGAGGAGTGCATTTAGTGTCCACAGGCACATGTTACCTAGCCCTGCATTAGACCTTGCCTAAACTTTGTGGAGAGGCAAAAACAAAAGCTGGTACTCCAGGAAGCATTTTCTTCCAGTCCACTCTCTTCTTTCAGAGAGCCTTATGGCTAATCGGGCAGTATATAAGTTGAATAAATAAATAATGTCATTTCTATTATTGCCGATCAGGTGCCCTCCAGACTGTTGGAACTACAACTTCCATCAGCCCTGGCCAGGTATACACCATTATTGGGGATGGTGGGGAATATAGTTATAACATGTGGAGGGTTCCCCTATCAGTTCCTGCTCATTTTTACAGGAGCAGCTCGAGATCGAGCTGTGCACAAGGCAAAAGTTTATATAAGTGAAAGCAGAATTGCAGCACGAATGCTCATTGTCCATAGACTGCTTTATCTGCAGCATTGCCTTTCAGAGCTGGACTTCGCCTTATGGGTACTCCTGCCTCAATAAATTGGTTGGTATTTTTTGCTACTCTGGACTCACATTGTTAGTCTTTTGAAGTAAGACTAATGGCTTGGGTCCTGGTTAACTAAAGGAGCGCTTACGTCCATATGTGCCCGCCCGCCCCTTGAGATCAGCGGGAGAGGCCCTTCTCCAGGAACCCTCCGTGAAGGATATTAGGAGGGTGAGTACTCGGAGGAGGGCTTTCTCTGCGGTGGCGCCCAATCTATGGAATGCGCTCCCCAGAGAGGTCCGCCTGGCGCCATCATTATTTGTTTTTCGGTGCCAGGCCAAGACCTTTTTATTTAAACATCATTTTAATTGCTAATATCATTTATTTATTTTACATTTTTGGCCAGGACATCTCCAATTATATTGTTTTAATATTGTGATTATTTATTTATTGTTGTGAGCCCCCCCAAGGCTTCGGCGAATGGGGCGGCATAGAAGCTTTCTAAATAGAGAGAGAGAGAGAGAGCGCGCGCGCGCGAGCTGTGGTTCTTTTTTTTAGTGGGTAATATCTACAGGTTCCTAGAATGTGGTTAGCTGTGGAACAACAAAGATGCTGCAGTAGGATGTGTGACTGAAACTACCTGGAGTTCCTTTTTTTGGTTAGTCAGAAGCTGTCATATCAATAATGAGTTCTGAATAATGATTGTGCAAAGAAGTTTGTGCATTACCACATTACATATTATGTTAAGTTAGCCTTGAAGTCGCGTCTGACCCATACATTAAAAAAAATTACATATACTGATAGGTAAATAAGCAATATGTGTATCCAACCTTCTTTTGAAATTCTTGGTGTCAGTTTATAATCTATAACCTTAAGTCTGTTTCTGGTTGCTAGTAATAAATAATCTTCCTGGCAAAACTGAGTGAACTAAATTGGTCCTTTTAAATTATTTCTTCAGGTCTTGGGCTAGATTCGCAGAAACTTCCCGGTCAGATGAGTTTCAGTGACTGGCCTGAAATGAAGAAGATATTTGTGGAAGTATTCTCAAAGAAAACCCAAAAAGAATGGTGTGAAATCTTTGATAACACTGATGCCTGTGTGACACCAGTTTTGACTTTCGACAAAGTTGCTTCATATCCACACAATAAAGAGCGTGGTTCTTTTTTAAAGAATGATCAGGAGGAGATAAGTCCTAGGCCAGCCCCTCTTTTATCCAGGACCCCCGCTACCCCAACATCCAAAAGGGATCCGTTTATAGGAGAGCATTCCAAAGAGATCCTCTTGGAATATGGTTTTTCCGAGGAAGAGATTTCACAACTCTGCTCTCTCAGGGTTATTGAAGTCAATATACCAAAAGCTAACTTGTAGTATAAAACATTACAAGTCAGGAGTCCTACACTGGCATTGGAAGTTTTAGGTCTTCTTTTCCAGAGGATGCTTAAAAGGATAATATTGCTGTTTGGAGTGGAGGTAGATTCCCTGCTATCTTCAGCTGTGTATGCTTGGAAGAAGCTGGCATCTCTGCAGGTGCTTCTTGAGAGCAATGCATTTAGGATATGGAGAATAAAGCACTAGCTGGTCATGACTAACACTGATCCATGTAAAATACAACAAATGAATGGTTGACTTATTTTTGTTCTTCCCTTAAAGCTCACAACCTAGAAGCATTTTCAGAATTGCCTTAAACATGTTCACTTACAGAGCAAAGGTTACAGCACTTCATCTCTTTCTTCAGTGCACTTATTCTAGAAGGAAGGAACTATAATGCCCCTTTAAAAACAAGCAAGCAAAAAAAAAAAAAATTTGGGTGGAGTAAGGTGGACATTTCACTTCGTTTTATTGCCCTTTAAGAGAAAGTACACAAAGTACAATCCTTCATTGCTTACCTCCCTCTATTCTAGAGGAAAGGTACTGCAATATTCCTAGCATCTTCAAAATGTACGTGAAATAGAGGAAACAAGATTTTATGTTGTTTGTTTTACTGCCCTGTAACAACGCATATACGTACTACAAGTCTTGGGTATTGAAGGGATGGGCACTGGTGTATTTTTGCTCAGCCACCTGTCACCTCATGCCAGGGTTTCCTTCCCTACCCCAAGCAAACTCTGGCCTATTTTATATCAGGATTGGCCACATGGCATGGGAATATTATTGGTGTTCACACGCCAGGTTGTGATTTGAATTAATTATTTTATGTGATGATCTCAGTGAAGAATTTGTAGCTTATTTGGTTTCGCCCTTTGGATATTGTGTTTGCAGTTTGTATAATTTCATTGTGGCAAGCAACCCTTTTGAAATTCATGTAACTGAATATTCTTCAGATTAACTACTGGGATTCCTGAATTTGTAATTTATACTGTAATTACCTAAAGATCTAGGCTTTTTATCAACTGTGTTAATACAATTTTAAAACTTACAAATAAAAGTACAAATTAATTTTCAGTGTATTTTGGAAATTGGATTGTATGATTACTAATTCAGTATATATTGAATACCTGCATTTAAACCTGGACTACTACTGAAGATGACTTCAGTTCCATATAGTCGATGAATGATTTGTAATCATAAAAGCCTTTAGTGCAGCTGCTGCTTCCATCAGTTGGTATGTGCAGCTTCATTTTGGAGGCTTATGATACGTTGTATAGAGATCTAGGCATGCATGCACGCACGCATACACAGAGTAGGTTTCACTGGAATGCAGCAAGCACAGGTAGTCTCTCCTTCATTGCAAAGCAGCATCAGTGCAGAGGGCCCAAAATTTGAACATCCACTTGCTTTTCATGCGGCTTTTCTCTGGCAGGGTCGCATCCTATCTTGTCCCCTTCAGTAACTATTGCTTGGAAGCATGTTCCCATACACCATTGCCTGAGGAGAAGTCTCGAGTTCAGTGGAATATACTTCAAAGCAACTGTGCATGGAATTATAATCTACATCTGCAGAATATCTGCCTTTTTTTTGCAGAGGACTTCACAACAGCTTTATAAAGCAGAAACTTTAAAGCTCCTTCAGCCCAAGAGTAAAATTTTAGTGAAGCTTTCGTGGGCCACGTTCAATGAGTGAGTGGAGCTGAAGGCAAAATGGAATGGGGGGCTGATGTCAAAATACCAGCCTATTTTCGATAAATGTTCTTATTGCTAGTAGAGGAGGCATTTTAACTCTGGAATAGGAAGAAAAATCATGTAAAATTGGGAAAGCATCTGATGATCTGTCAGGAGGAAAGATGATGTGGCCATCTGAAGGGCCATGGTAAGCCAAATTGGGTGGGCCAGATATTGCCTGTGGGAGTGAGGTTCTACATATATGCTATAAAGTGAGTTGCTATTCCACTTGGCAATTGAGAAACTGAGACTATGTGATGGTGCATGACGTGGCCAGAACCCACCATAAGTGTTTGATAGAGATGTGATCAGACTTTAGGTTTCCCACATTCAAGTCCAGTGCTATGGCTGTCTTGCTTTTTGGTCTTTTCATTATGCTCAGGTAAGTCCTCTGTGTGGCTCCTAGTTTTATTCTTAGCCTTGGATAAATGATAGACAATTATTACTAGTAGTAGAAGCAGTAAATGAATTTCATAGAAAAGTAAAATTACTTTGCACTCACTAGCTGGAATAATGGAAATGGAAAGCATTATATATGTGTCCTTAAGCAAAAGGGGTAAGACTTCTAACTTAATAAATGCTGAAAATCAAGGGAAGGACCTGGAAATTAATCTGGGGAATATGGTCTGCAGGAAACAAAGCCAAGAATCGGTTCAAGATTAAATGCCAGAGTAAGGCTTGTGGATCTTGTGCTTTTTTCCCCTCTCACAGCCTTCAGGGTTCTGCCAAACAGTTTTGCTCAGCAAACTATTGTCTGAAATAAAGTAGCAGAAAGGAGACTGTTTCTGGCATCCACAGAAATGTGACATCTGCTCAGATCCTGGCTGTTCAGTGAATGGATAGAAACAGCCTAGGAGACCATTCTTTCTGAGCAATAAAAATAGCTTTGTTTTTGGGATCCTAACCTGTGAGAGTTGTATACAAACAGCACACATTTTTCCTCTCTTGGAGATAATCCTCCAGTCATAATGATCTGGGAACATTCCAGTTAACCAAGAGCTCTAATGGTGCTAATCTTCCAAAGCTGGCACACACGCACACTCACACAGCTGCCGACTCCTCCACCTCTCCCCCCTCGTGTAACTTGTGATCCCAGAGCCCATGAAAAGTACGTTCACTCATCCACCAGCTCCCTTTATGTTCTGCAGGCTGACCTGAGAGCCGGCTCAGCCGAGCAGCCCAATGACTTTAACGGAGCAGGAGATCTGTGGGTTGCTTCCGCAGCCTTTTGAATTGGGCCTTGCCAGCACGGAATGCGGCAGTGGGAAGGAGGACACCATATTACAATCCTTGGCGGGGGGAGACCCCTTTGGGCCTGTGGAGCACCCCAAGAAACCAACGGGGAGGTTGGTTATGCACAGCATGGCCATGTTTGGCCGGGAGTTCTGCTACGCGGTGGAGGCCGCCTTTGTCACCCCCGTGCTGCTCAGTGTGGGGCTCCCGAAAAACCTTTACAGCCTGGTGTGGCTTATTAGCCCCCTTCTTGGATTTGTGCTGCAGCCCGTGGTAGGCTCTGCCAGTGACCACTGCACGTCTGGCTGGGGCAAGCGGCGACCCTATATCCTGGCCCTTGGCATCCTGATGTTGGTGGGGATGGCGCTGTACCTCAATGGAGACACAGTGGTCTCAGGTGAGTAAGCAGGCCTTGGCCTGGGCCTAGCAAAACAAAGCTGGGTGAACCAGAAAAAGATGTGTCTGGCCTGAAAGTGTGAGCTTTCTGAATTGGCCATGACTTGGATGTCACTTAAGTGGCTGCTACGGACTAGCCAGAATTATTAAAAACTATAGCGGCGAGCGCAACAAAATAAGAGATCGTGTTATCCTACTTTCTGGAAAAGAACTGAATGCAAGCTGGAAGCAGCCTTACTGTGAGTGACCTCTGTCTTCTGTATGCGTGCTCAGTATGTCTGTGGGTGACATGAGTTCTTCTTTCCAGGCACACAGATGTTCCCAGACAAAGAAAACGGCCAGAGCTTAATGGATGACTTGTTTGACTTCAAGATTTTTTACGTTAATTGTCTAATTGCCTGAAAAGGGAGGATTATACTAACAATTACATGCTGACTAATTGAGAGGTTGATAGTGGCAGAAATATCCCTTGTGTGTGCAGCATTTCCGTTCCATTATTTCAGTGTTCAGATGGCTTCATATTCATTAATTTCACAGTCCCTACAACAAAATTGCGAGGTAGGCCAGTATTGAAGCAGTGTAATGCGACAGGGACCATTGCAGCAGGTAGCTTGTTATAGTGCACAGCAAGCAGCCTTGGTTCCTTATATTGCCAGAATCAGAACCAGTTCATGCTTCACTGCTTTTAGGTTTCAAGCAGGAATCACTCCTACTTTGTGAAATTCACGAAGCTTTGTGAAATTCAGTGGTCCAGATGGATCCTTTGACTGTTGCAATGGCCTGTTAAGAGTAAACACTTAGAAGGTTCTCCGGCAGATTTCTCTGTTTTACTACTTTGCCATGAGATTGGCTCAATTTCCCCGCTGTTGCACTGCTTTGCAGTGGCATTGGGGTCTGTTCAACAATCCCACTCATTGCTCTATATGGCAGCTAGCAATGTAGTCCAGGGAAGGGAAGTTTCCTTTGGCACCTGGCAACTTTGGCTGTCACAGAGTTGCCTGGGATACGTGTCAGGAGTTGGCGGGAGGACTGAGCAGGTAAACAAACGATGGCAAGCCACAGAACACTCAATCTTCTGTTGGGCCAGCAAGCCAACAACCAGTCCATGGTGGCTTCTTCTCAGCATGGCTTAGTGTGACAGGTGGACCCCTGCCCCCAGTCTCTCCATAACAATCTTCTGCTGAATTTTGTTAGCTAACCACAACATTTAAAAGCCCTTTATCTCATTAGCTTTTTCTTTGGTCTGGGCATGCAAGGTTTGTGCTTCATGGATTGAGTTGCCCTAAAGTATTACAATCCTGGATACCACACTACCTGATCAGTTTAAATGGTGATTATGTGGTGTGCTTGGCAGAGGATTGAAAAGAGTCGCACTGTAGTCTGCCATTGCATTCCATTTTGTTAGAACTCTGTTGGGTGAGCAATGTCACATCTCACCTGGGCACTGAGCATTCTAGACACGGTGAGAGCAGATTCTTGCTCTGGAAATGCCTAGCAGGCCTACGTGCATAGCAAGAAAAGGATGTGGAGTGCAAAACCCTCTCCAGCTGCATTTTAGTTTTTCAGAGCTTCCTTTCCCAAACACATTTCTACTCAGCTGGACCTCCAGTGACCATGAGCAAGATAAAAATGTTCAGGGATCGGCCTGAGGGGAGAAGGTTTGGCACACTATTTTCACAGCCATAAGAATGGATGCCAGCCCTCTCTTCAGGGCCGTCTTAGCCGCATTATGGGCCCCGGGCAAAGCAGTGTCCTGGGCCCCCTATGACAATTACAACTACTGTTAATTTTGGAAGTTTTCCAATTTTCCAAGGGTTAACATACACAGATTAGTATGGGGCCCACGGGCAAGTGCCCATCAGGCCCATGCGTTAAGACGGCCCTGCCTCTCTTCCTATGTAGTTTGGTATGAACTGTGGTTAAACACATGCTTCCGCTCATACCACATCCCCTTTAGCTCTAGAAAAAAAATGTCAATTGTTACAATCGAGTTATGAAAACTGTAACTTAAAAGACTCAAGTTATGCAAGGAAACTTACATAACTAAACATGGTTATTTTAATCTTTAATTTTAATTGTTGTGCATCTTTTTAGTAAATTTGAATGTTAGCATTAGATAAATCAGTATCCAGAAACTCCCCGTATGTCCATTCTAGTTCTGATGCCAACAGTTGCTTGTGTGAAGGAAGCCATTGCAACGAAATGGGCCCTAGGTTTTCCACTGTGAAAGAAAAGGCAGTACATGAATTGATTTCTTCTTTTGCAGCTTTGGTTGCTGACCAAGCCACCCAGAGAACATGGGCTATAGTGATAACTATGCTGGGAGTAGTGCTTTTTGATTTCGCTGCAGACTTTATCGATGGTCCCATCAAAGCCTACTTATTTGATGTTTGCTCTCACCAGGATAAAGAGAAAGGGCTACATTATCATGCACTCCTGACAGGTAAAGCAAGGCCTCTAGATCCCTTCCCCTTCACTCATTTGGTGGTGGGAGTAGGGAGACAGAGGCTGCCTCGAATACCTTTCTTTCAGCTGTCTTTTTAGCTGCTTGAATTATCAGCTGATCTGAGTCTTCAGTCACGAGGACTATTTAACAGGTCATCTTGTGACCACAGGGGTTACAGCAGAGCTTCCAGAAGAGTTGCTCCTTTATACTTCCGAGAAATAATATGAAAGGCTATCTAACAAAGACTTCCTCCTGCTTGGAGGAACTTACTGGGCCTTTAGGCTAATTTTTCTTTTCTTCTGATTGGCTAGTGTAGCCTCCCTGTACACCCCGTTTTGGCAGATTACTATTCCTGCTACAAGAACGGAAATCTAGCCAAGTACCAGAGAACATTTAAGTATGTGTGTACAAACTTAGAAAGCCAGGCTGTGGTTCTGTGCTCACTTACTGCATTTTACTTGGTAAATGTACAACTCTGTACAATTTTGGACAGAAGAAGCTCCCAGAGTACCCCACCCAGCAAGTGCCTTTTTCCTGTCTAAACACACATAGGATTGCACCCTAAGATTTACATCTGAGTAAACATGATAAGGATCACACATATTTTGATTTAGGAGGCTGCAATTACATAAAGCAGCGTTCCTTTATCACCTGTCTCCAGGACCAGGTTGGAAATTGCCTTTTATGTTTGACAGCATCATCTTTATCTACAATGTAGACATTTTTACATTTAGATACTGCAGATTTGCTTTTGTTGCCTGTCCTGCAAAGCCAAATACCCACACAACAAAGGTGGAGCTCAGGTGGCCATGTACGAATCACCAAGAAAAAGAAAATGTACCCATGACTCCAAGTTTGTGTTTGATCCTAGGGTTGGTTTTGCTTGCTTGGATTGCTTTCAGGGTGGCTTTTTCTTTCAATTCAGAGAGACCCGCAGAGAAGTGAACCTAAAATGCTAACATACAGATTGCATTAGAGTCCACATGGCCTAATGGTAGAGTGTTGGATTGGGACCAGGAGACCTGCATTCTAGTCCCTGTGCAGTCATGAAACTCACTGGGAGACTTGGGGCCACTCCCTGGCTCTAGGCCTAACCTACCTCATAGGGTTACTGTTGTGAGAATAAAATGGAGAGGAGCCACTGAGGGTTCCTTGCAAGAGGAAGAAAGGGAGGGTATAAATGTCACACAGAAATAATAATCAGCTTCCCGCTTTCTGATACATGGCATTGTTTCAGGACCATGTGCCTTCCCCTCAATTAGAAAACTGCCATTGCCTTTCATCTCGCTTCACTTTGGCCTCGTGATGGCAGTTGGGCAGCGTGTTGCCTGGACCGCCACAGACCTTTTGCTCCCTTCTTGCTAGGACTGCACATTTCTTAAGGGGTACGGCAATCAGATGTTCTTATACAGGCAGTGGGGCTCCACAGGAGCAGGAAGGCTCCCCAGTTGGTTTGAAGGCTTCCTAGGATTGCCCAGTATGGAACATTCCCCAATACTCAGATGAGTGCTTTGCATTACAGTCACGCCAGCTGGACTTGTTGCCAGCACTCAGCCTGGAGATCTGCACCATCCCAGGTGGATATAGATGCCTGCAGATCTGTGGATGCCCACCCAGAACCCTTTGATGGTGGGGAAAACAGGGACTTCCAGGAGAGATAAATGGGCATGCTTGTTTCAAGTGACACAGAGCAGCAGTAACTGGATGCCACTCAAGCCTTTGCATTATGTCACAAGGCCCAAACAGACATTACTTCAAAATATTTATCAGTTTATTTATATATTATGGTATTTCTAACCCGTCCATTATGGGTTGTCTCTGGATGGCTTACAATATAAAACACCTAATAAATATATCATAACACACGACTGAGGATAAAAACATAATTAAAATATTTAAACTTTAAAATATCAGGTAAATAAAAAGGTCTTGACCCGGCACTGAAAAGCATATAACGTCAGCGCCAGGGAAATCTGCTATGTGTCTGCTAGCTACACTTGTTTCTAAAAACTTGCTCTAGAGTAGCTGCAGGGTCCCCAAATGGATTTTGATTCTAGCTTGGGGATCTTTGCACATTTCTTTCCTTTTATAAAAGTGACGGGACATCTTTCATTCCAGGTGCTGTTAAGTACTCTACTTGGCGACAAAATTTTGGTGGAGGCAAAATCTGTTCACAGTCTTTAATGTAGAGGTGCCTTGTGTCCCATTTTACAGAGAACAATATTTGAAGAGTGGCCTCAAGTCAGTCCTCTCTTTAGAACAAGTTGTCTGTGCCATCCCAGTTCAATTTAAAGTATCCTAAAAAGGGAGAGCAAGAGGCTTAAACTTGTCCATCAAAATTTAGAACCAGAGCAGCTGAATGAGAGGACAGCCACACAGCTTACTGGGTCACCATCTTTTCTTCTGCATGGAGTTATATTGTATTTCTCTTTCACTTAAAAGGATTCTTTCTAAATTTGCATCTCTCTATAAATGAGCACAAGCAAATTTTATGTGTTCCCAGTATTCCCAGTATCTCTTCTATATGCAGTCCCTCCCCTCACAGATCATTGGCTGGGTTCACATGATCGCAGTTGAGAAAATGAGCCACAGTGGCTCGTTCCCTGTCTTGTGTGTGCCACTCATGTGTTGTGGTTTGTGTGGAACTGCATAATCAACATATTGTGCAAACCTAGTCAGGATGTTTTATTACCATGAGTAACAAGCTACCCATAACCTGATGATAGCATGACTTGTTAACCACAAACAGCCCATAAAAAGAACCCATGGTATGCTGCTGTTGTTCACTGAGGGTTGTTCACTGTGGTTTATCAAGGCTGAATTCAGACAACTCATGTTTCAAAAACAACCCACACTTCAATGACAACCCACAGTCAAGCCATACTCCATCCTTGAGTGTGGGTTATGGTTTTGTCTGAGCCCAATCTATGGCTGGTTCACATGATATCACAAGCCACACTTCTGAAGGTGACAATCCAAAACCTCTCTGGATTCAGCTGGTGTGCACACATGCTGTAAAGTGAGGGTGTGAGGGGGAAGTCACTGTGGCTTATTTCCCCCCCAGACTGGGGTTGTGACTGCCAGAATGATGGACATTTTGCTAGCAATGGATTAAATGCTTGTGTGCATAGCTCACTAAGAGCATTCAGGCAAAACATTTAGAGGAACAATTTAACGTTCTCTAAATGATTATTTTTCCTGACATGAAAGAAAAGGTGGCATTTCCCCCTGCTTGGAATATATTTCCAAAACCTTCATTCTCTTCTCTCATAAATTAGTATTGTTCCCTTCCCCAGATCCAGTGGCCCTTTTGCTCCAAGGATTATTGTTCTCCGACCTCCCAACCATCCTTCCATATCAGCCTGACATGAAAGAGGGGCTGAAACGCCACGTGATCTAAATATCTGCCCATCTCACCCCGACAAAACAAAGAGCAGGTTATGCTGTCTGCAACCCCACTGGCAGAGGAGCCAGCTCCCACCGCGAGAGTTCTTTCGAATGTGAGCTGGAGCTCTGCCTTGTAATGTGCTGCACATCCAGCTAGCTTGTGTTTTGGTAGCTCTCACAAATACATGGCAGGGATTGCACTGACACATTCAGCTGAAACAAGCTGTGGGGCGAATGGTGACCTTTTCCTTGATTCTACAGAGTTTTCTTTTTGGCTGCGCTGTAGCATGTAAGGTCATCCTGTGTAAGTACCACATCTCAACATTTCTTAAAGTAAGTTTCCTAAAGCTTCCTACATACAGGAGCACAAGAATTCATGCTCATCCTTTCCTTGTCTGTACTACAACCTTTAAATGAAACCATCACAGGCAGTGCTTCTGAGATTATTTGTATGGTCCCCAGAGAAAACAGAAGTCACCTGCCACAGTTTCAGTTTTTGTATTTATTACATTTGTATGCCACCCCATAACCAGAGGTTCTCTGGGTGGCTCACAGCACTTTACACACACACAAGCACACACGAATAATTAACAATAACCAACAAACCATAAAACAGGATAGAATTAAAATACAATATAAATACAACTATATAAATAGGAACAGGAAGAAAATAAACACAATATGACCAATAACAACCAATAAAACAATAAAAAATAAACCAGCAGCAAAACTAATCCAATCTAAGTACAGGTACTAAATAAAAAAGTCTTAACTTGGTGCTGAAAGCAAGTTTCCAAGTGTCTCTTGGCTTTCTTGGTTCTCTTAAATCAAGCAACCATTAGCTAGGCTTTGTGGGCAGATGTATCAGAAAATCAAGATTCTTGGGAAAATCTGACAGAGCAGCCCCTTTCCTTTGCCGACGTTTTTCTTCCAAATGCAATTGCTGCCCTGTGTGCACAAAGTAAGAAATGCGGCGCAGTATCCACAATGCAGCCGAGTTCCAGATGCCAATGGGCTGTGTTGGGAGAGAAGTGAGAGGAGTTTTTTTTAATCAGTTACGTTTAAAAGGAAAGCCTATATAATCAGGACTTGTGGGAACCTGCCATTTAGGTTCCTTTTTTGTTTAAGTCCAGCAAATGCACATGTCCCATTGCAGTTGTGCAGGAATACAGGTTTTTAAATTGAGATCTTTGCCAAATGAAAAAGTGATTACTTACCTTCATGTCCCTCTCCATTTTTTATTATAGTTACAGCAGCAACAACAAAGCTTTCAAAGAGAGAAAGAGAGAGAACGTGTGCAGATGCACGATATGCACCTGCTTTTGCAGCCTTCCTATAGGCATGCTCTTCCCAGGCTGCCAGGTGCCTCTAGAAGGCCTGAGTCTAGTTGATCACCTTGACACAGGCTCTCCATTGCAGGATGTAGCTGTAGCATCGCTGGCAGATCCAGCTTCATACATCCTTCCGAGGAAGGAAAAGAAGCCCCCACTTCTCAAGGCAGTCTGCTATACTGCTGAGCAGCCCTCACTGTTGCAGTTTCTCCAACCCTTTCGATGTTACCTGCTTCCCTGCAACTTCCAGACTTTCTAGTTCTGCCTGCTGAAGGTGTGGAGAACATCCAGCGGCTCCATCTTCTGCAGGGCAGCCTTTTGGACGCAAACCCCCGCCCCACCTTCTCCTCCCCCTTGTTCTTGCCTTGGTTAACCAAATAACAGCTCTTCTCCAAAGAATTCTTGAGGTTGGCTTTCTTCTAGGGCCTCTGGAGTCCTCTGCAAAGGATTTTTAACTCTGTCCATCTCTGTGCTAGGGACACAGGAGGTTCGCAGTAGCTGCCTGTCCTTTGTAGCACTTCTTTTTGGAAGGAGATTTTCCAAAGTCAGAGCCCGAGGATCTTCCAGAAGTGTGTCAACATATTTCGAGAACACAGGGCCAGAGTGTATGGGGTGGCAGCCACACTGGTACGTGCAAAGCAGACTGGAAATATTATCTGACATATGGGAGCTACAGAAAAGTTGTGCTGTACCCATTTCCCTCCTTGTAACTGCTCCAGTTTAGGATTCCTGCCAGCCTGTTTTGCCTTGGTGGGGATCCTAGAAGTGTGAGCTCAGGACCCCCTCCCAGCTGGGATTCTATTGTTCTTTTCCAGCCAGCAGTCACAATTCTGTGTCTACTCAGCTTTCTCAGTCCCCTGTGGGCTCTCAAGGGGCAAGGCCTCCCCTCCCACCTTATGGTTGCTTTTAAAAGATTTTGGGATATTTTCCATTGCTTCTCATTCTCATTATTATTATTATTACATTACAGTTATATCCCACCTGTTTCCCCTTGTGAGGAACCCAAGGGGGCTTGCATAGTCCTCGTCATGTCCAGTTGATCCTCACAACATCCCAGCGAGGTAGGTTAATCTGAGAGTCAGTGACTGTCCCAAAGACAACCAGTGGGCTTCACAGCTACGTGGAAATTTCCTGGTTCCCAATCTAACACTCTAGTCACTGCACCACATTGGTTCCCTGTTTTGGCAGTAATCATGTTGGCTCTTACCCTTAGAGGAACCGAGAACTGTTTCATTTATTTTAAATTGTTGTTTTATGGATGTTTCAAGGTATTATTAAAATATGTAATGTATTATTAAATGGTAGTTGAACTTTTGGGATGGGATGAAGGAGAAGCTGAAATAAAAGTAATGTGGCAGTAATCTGACCTCTTGGTATTAAATAAGCTTCCATTTTCTTTTTAATGTTAATAGTCATGTCTTCTCTCTCTCTCTCTCTCCCCCCCCCCACTTTAGGTCTGGGAGGGGCACTGGGCTACCTCACAGGTGCCATTGATTGGGGGCATACTGTCTTGGGAACGTATTTGGGATCGGAGTTCCAGGTGATGTTCTTTTATGCAGCTCTTGTGTTCCTCATCTGTCTTACTGTACATTTGTGCAGCATCCCAGAAACTTCTCTTACCAGCAACAAAGCAGAATCCGAAGTCTTATCCAAGGCACCTAAGCCCTATCAGTATGGCTCCATAGGCAAAGTCGGGAATGGTTATTTTAACAGTGGATATAATGAAATCCAGATTTTATCTCAGAAGGGAAAGTCCACCATAAAAGAAGACATTCAGGTATTTGCAGCTGTATAAGATTGTAATATCTATGTTTATAAGAATAATAATAACTGACGCTCTCTGGGTGATTTATAACAATGCATAAAACAGCACAATAAAATATAATGCAGATAAAGTGATAAAGCTGTGTGCCAAGCATAATTTAGGACAAAATCTTCTTAAGTGTTTCTTTTTGTATGAGGTCTGTCTGCTTCAATATTGGTCTGAAGCTGGTATAGATGGAAGCCACTAGAGCTCCCAGACACATCCTTCATCAGAGCTTTGTTGTCAAAATAAGGAAAGGGAATGTGCAGGCATTGTATTGTGACCTATAAAATTGCTGCATATCCATTAGTAATATGCACCTGTGTTAAATGGGTTAGATGAATTGTTAGACTGACACAATTGCCCTGACACAGAACAAAAATGGGCATGAAGTGAATTTAATTTGTGACTGTTGCTGCTGTTAGGTCATCCATCTGTACCTGAAGTTAGTTTGCAAATGGTGTGCAAGACAACTCTAAGGGAGAGACAGAACAAAGGTTATTTGTGTCATCGGCTATTGTTACCCACTGGAAGGAGACAGATGATCAAATTCTGTCTGGGCATCCTGGTGGTGACCCGGAAACAGAGTACTGACTCCAGAGGGAAGCACTATTGCAGTGACACCAAAAGTATATGCTCTGCCCACTCACTGGGGCCTGATTTTTCATGAGCATCTCAGGGCGAATGGAGATTCACATCTCGGATGTTCCTCCTCAATGCTTATTGTACGATGGCTTCAGAACACTGATCTCCCTTGCTAGATTGGGAACTACAGAAGCACAAGGAAGATCTGCTCACAGAGAATACTTGTGCCAGGAAGTGGCAGAAAATCTAACCAGGAGGACTTTATGGTGCCCAAATTTGTACTAGCTGAATCTGATGAACTCAGTCAAAGGGATTTGGTCAGGTCCTATCAGAGACAGACTTTGGAGAAAGTGCGTTCTCTGTTTGTTTAGCCTTTATCTGCTAGGAAGCATGCCAGAGCCAATTCGCATGGGATAAGAGGTTTGCATCACGTTCACAACCATCCAAAGGCACCACAGACTTGCGCTTCTGAAGTTGCTTGATGTGTCAGGACATAAAGCTCCATCAATTTCTGTGTATCTAAAGATGCAGATAGCTTTGCTGTTTACTATTTATTTGGAACATTCATATCCCACCTTTCTTCCATCATGGAATACTATTTTCTGATGCTGTTGAATGGAATAGATTCATCCAGTTGGAGGGGAACCATATGGCCATCAGGTCCAACCCCCCTGCTCAAGTCTTCCATCCAAACACTAACTAGGCCTGACCCAACTTAGCTTCCAAGTTTAGGCCAGATCAGGCACTTCAAGCTATATGGAATCATCTCTATTGTTAGAATTTGATAGTGGTCCTGTTCTACCTCCTCCCTTCAGTTCATCAACCTTGTGCAATCTCCTAGACTATTGGTCCTGTCACAATATAAAAGGACAGGGTACATTAAAAGGTGGCCCTTCCTGGCGGCTCTGTACAGCAGACCTTTCTGGAAATCACCCAGACAAAGAAATTGAATCCATCTGGGCCAAATGAAGCAGTCCTTCAAAAACAGCATTGCTTACTTGATTGCTCTGAGGATTTTGTTTTGTTTTTTGTTTAAAACCCTAAGTGCAAGAATTGGCTATTTTATTTCAGTAATTTTGGGAAGCCTCTGTGCAAAATATTGGGGTGTTCTTTCTTCCAGGTGCAGAGGCAGATGACCCTGAAGTCCCTCCTGAAAGCTCTTCTAAGCATGCCTTCCCACTACCGCTGTTTGTGTGTGAGCCACTTGATGGGATGGACAGCTTTCCTTTCCAACATGCTCTTCTTCACTGATTTTATGGGGCAGGTAAGGAAAATCGGAGAGGGGGGCATGGATCCTAATTTAGAGAGGGCTGTTCTCTATTCGTGGGGCTGTCCAGGCCAAGTCCAGTTTAAAGATAAAGAAACATGAGAAAGGAAATGAGCAGGGACCCAGGAAATACTATGTCACAGTATTTCCTGCTATGGAAAGATTTATTGCATTTGTACTCATTGTATTTCTTTCTAAATGTGCATCTATACTTATACACTTGTGCTTGCAAATGTTATGAAATCAGTGCCCCCTTTGGTCTTCCTGCTTGGATGATGTATTGCATCCTTTTGGTGATGCATAGACAGCCTCCCCAAATACAGACTTTTTGGGTGTTTTTACCTACTTGCTTATGGCACCACAATGGGAAAATCCAAGAGTTCTTATTAACATCTCAAATAGCTAAATGAGTGATTCCGGAGAACAAACATGGATGCCTTCTTTACTGAAATATATCTGTTGGATAGCTACATTTTTTCCCCCATGTGTCAATCTCGCTGGGTTTTAATCTGTATATACCAATAGATGAAATTTCAGTGGTAAACGCTGTGGTTTCCCCCAGAACTCACAAAAGCATTTGTTTCCATTTAACTGTTTAGAGTGAAGCATAGGGATGCATTACGAAGGTTTGCTTCAACTCCATCTCACTCTCGGAGCTGACACTCATGCCATACATTTTAAAATGACAATCCTGTGTGGTATTCTAGTATTTTGTTTTGCCTTAGTACAGGTGTGATCTTACCAGAAATAAACCCAACCTTTTCCATTCTATTGAATGCTATTTAAAGTGCAGTTCCTATCACCTCCACCCTCCGTGTGCATTAGTCTCGCAGCTTGGAGGCTTGGGTGCATGTGGTGGGGCTGATTTCTGCAGGCCCACACCCTGATGGCCATTTCCGGTCCTCTAGATAAACTGCCAGGGAGTGGGAGGGAAGGTGGTTGGGGTGATTCCATATACAGCAAGGCCTCTCCTGCAGCCTCCTCCCGCAGATTTGTATAAAGGAGCATGATGCTGGCAGTTTTATTTTCAATCCCTTCCCTCATTATGCCTAAAATGAAGTTTGCCTCTTTCACAGCAACGGCCAACTTTTTCACTGAGCGGTCTGCTCGAATGCCACGGCCCCTTCCTTGCTCCATCACTGCGTGTGCTTCTCTTCTAGTTCCCGTGCAGCTCGGTGCATCCCTCCCTTGTCTTCGACACCTTGTTATTTAGAAATGAGATAGTGGATAAAGCTCTAGAGAGAGCTTCACCCTCCTGTTCTGATTCCCCTCTTTTGTGGTGCATTGCAGATCGTATTTGATGGGGATCCTTACGCGCCTCACAACTCCACAGCTTACCTGACCTATGAAAGAGGAGTTGAGATCGGGTGCTGGGGAATGTGCATCAATGCCATGTCTTCCTCACTCTATTCTTGTGAGTACAGCCTTGCTTGATTACCTGACTATAAAGTGCAGTTGTATCGGACGGGGATGCACAACCAGGGGGTGGCCACTGGTCTACCCATGGAATCCCTGCAAAGTCTCCAAGGAGACCGGTGGACTTTGAATGGGAGCTGCTGTGCTCTTGCCCCACTTGTGGGCTTCCTGTGGGTTGGCCTGTGTGTGAACAGTTTGCTGGACTAGATGGGCCCTGGGCCTGATCCAGCAGGGCTCTTCTGATGCCCTTGGAGAAAGCCTGTCCCAGCCCCCTACCCATCTCACTTCTGCAATGGCTCGTTTCCCACCACTTAGCACGATCCCCCCACAACTATGATCCCATGTGACCTTCCCATCCAGAAAGGTTGTGGACCCCGATATAGGGCTTTAGGGTGCCCATTGTGTTTCACATACATTAATACAATGATCTCCCATTCCTTAAATTGCTGCGTATCTCATCACAACAGCAACTGCAGTGAGGACAGAAGGAATGTTTAACCCAAGTGTTGAACCTATTTCAACCCAAGGGCCAAATTCAGTTTCAGAGAAGCTTTCGAGGGCCTTGATCCAGGTTGAAGACAAAGAGGGACTGGGGTATAGGAGCATAGGAAACTACTTTATATTGATGGTCAATCTAGCCCAGAATTGCTGATACCAACTGGCAGAGGCTCCATGGGATTTCAGCCAGAATTCTCTCCTAGCCTTACCTGGAGATTCTGCAGTGGGGACTTTCCGCCACTGAGCCAGAGACCCTTCTGATTACCAAAGGCAAAGAAGGCAGGGCCAAAAGTGCCTGAATTTTGGGGTGGGGGTGCGCTTAAAGCAGCCTCTGCCTGCAACTGAGCCTTAGGAGAGGAATTTCAATGCGGGGAAAAGATGTCAAAGCCAGGAAATGACAAAATGATTGGCAACTGGGGAAAGGGAATGTGGCCAAAGAAAGGAGACCTGGCAGCCTGAGGAGGTGAAGAGGTTGGACTGGGAACCTCAGGTGGGCCAACATTGGCCTATAGCCCTGAGGTTCAACACCCTGGTTTAATCCCATGTCATGGTCCTGATAAAACTCCCACTCCCAACCTGTGGAGCTGGGGAAAGGGGGCTTCCTGCCTAATGATGGAACACCCTCTGGATTCCAGAGGACTAGAAGCAAAGTTGCTGTTCTGGTTGCACTTGGAGCAGAACAGAAACAAGGGAGCGCTGCTGTTTTGTCTGCATCTGGAAGCTCCCTCAGACAGCAGAGCTGGGAAAGACCCGGCTATATGTTTGTGTGTGTTCGGAAGCGACAGGACTTCTTGATTAGCAGGATCCTGACGCCGTCTGCCCCCTCTCTTCAGAATTCCTTATTCTCTCTCAATTTAGCTATAATCCCCAATGAAATGTTAAAACATCTGGGCTCACAGTAGCTTCAGGTAAATTGCTTTTTCCAGCCATGATATATTGTTGTGAGCTATCCTCATTATGATGTGAAGTATTCTGAGGTGGCTTGGTCTTGAACCAGCATTACTATCCAATAGGTTTACAAAAGTACGCTGATGGAGGTCAGCCTGCTAGGACTGGTTTGTTGATATGGGCCAATACGTCGGCCTTCATTTTGGACCCTCCTTGGAGTGTGGTTCTGGGGACTGTGATGATGAGTGTCTGCACTTCAAACATTTCCATTGAACCACTGTGATCCCAAAATGTGATCCCAAAATCTGCAATTAAGGTCTAAGAACTTGAGTGGTACTTGGGACCCTGGAAGCTACATGGAGCATCACTCAGAACTCCTTAGATGAAGTGGGATAAAAAAAAATCCATCAAGGAAAGGTTATGTGAACAATTTCACTTCTCAGGGGGCTATTTGCAAAAATATTACAAATGACAGAGGTATTTCACAACTATGATTTAAATTGCTACCTTTAAAACTCCCCTCTTTCTCACTTTTTTTCTTCCAACAGATTTGCAGAAAGCCCTTTTACCTTACATAGGATTAAAGGGGTTGTATTTCATTGGCTATCTGCTTTTTGGGCTAGGCACTGGGTTTATCGGACTTTTTCCCAAGGTGCATTCTACTCTGGCTCTGTGTTCCCTCTTCGGTGTAATGTCCAGCACATTGTACACTGTACCATTCAACCTCATTGCTGATTATCACCGGGAGGAAGAGGTAAGTGAGAATGAATGGTTATGATCGCTGACACTGACCTCTCTCAGGTGGGCTGGATTGCAAGCTTACGCCTTGCATTAGTGACTAAGAGAACTGAGAGATGTTCAGGTGAGAACCTGGTCTTTTTACTTAATAAGACAGGAATCAATGCCATTAGCCATTTTCTAAAATGGAATCTCTGGTTTCACAATGAAAATAGCTACCAAATGACCCCTGTTGTCTGGAGATGTAGTGTAACAAGGCCAGACTGTCAAGAGCTTTTTCCAGGAAAAATGCACTTCAGCTGAACCTGAAACCTTGAACTTTCAAGCTGTTGTTCCTTGTTAGATGTGAATTATAATTTGCTTGGAAGACTCTTCAGCAAAAGCTCAGGTGACAGCAGTGGTGAGGAGCGCTTTCCTTCAGCTTCGGCTGATTCATCAGCTGCGCCCCTACCTGGAGTACGACTGCCTGGCGACAGTGACACACGGGTTGGTGACTTCCCGCCTTGACTTCTGTAACGCGCTCTACGTGGGGCTACCCTTGAAGATGGTCCGGATACTTCAATTGGTTCAAAATAGAGCTGCCAGGCTGCTGACGGGGACTGGGCGTTATGTTCACATGACTCCAGTCCTCCGTCAGCTTCACTGGCTTCCCATTGAAGTCCGGGCCCAATTCAAGGTGTTGGTGATGACCTATAAAGCCCTAAACGGCTTGGGTCCTGGTTACCTGAAGGAGCGCTTACATCCATATATGCCCGCCCGCCCCTTGAGATCTGCGGGAGAGGCCCTTCTCCGGGAACCCTCCGTGAAAGAAATTAGGAGGGTAGGTACTCGGAGGAGGGCTTTATCTGCGGTGGCGCCCAATCTATGGAATGCGCTCCCCAGAGAGGTCCGCCTGGCACCGTCGTTATTTGTTTTTCAGCACCAGGCGAAGACCTTTTTATTTAAGCATCATTTTAATTGTCAATATTAATTTCTTATTTTATCTGGCCAGGGCGACTTATTTTATATGGTTTATTTCTGTATTTTAACTTTATGTTGTGAGCCGCCCCAAGGCTTCGGCGAATGGGGCGGCATAGAAATGTTTTAATAAATAAATAAATAAATAAATGGCCCAGAGGCCTTTACATTTCAGCCCAGTAGGAATGCTACACACTCAAAATAGCTCTAAGTAGGAGTCAGTGGCAAATGTTCTGTTTTCCAAAGGTTTAGTGTTGACCAGCAGCCCAAGATCAATGAACAGGAAGTCCTTGGCAGTTCCATCCATACTGGGGATGAGCAAAGACAAGGCTGATGCCGTGGAACCAACAAAAAGACCAAGGCACCATGGCTAATAGGGTTCAGGCAGGATGAGTGGTCAAGGTACTCAGGAGAGACTCAGTACACTGGGAAGGTAGATAAGACACAATGGCCAGCAAAGTTCAGACTTTCTAACTTCATTGGTGTT